AAGGCCGTGGGCGGCGTCAAGAAGCGGAGCCGGAACCGCGACGTCCTCTCGTACGCCGAGGCTCTGGTCTACGACAAGCCGTCGATCCCCAAGTTCGTCGAGACGCGGTCCACGGACCGCCTCGACCGCATCATGCGCCTCCCGCGGCGCCAGTCCCTCGCCACGTCGGCGTCGGGCCCGCTGCCGCGCGACGGCGCGGGCGTCGTCGACGCGCTCCGCGTGCGGCGCACGTTCTCGCCAGGGCAGCAAAAGGGTGATTCAACGTCGCTTCAATGTGAGTGTTTCGCGCGCGCGCGTTCTAGGAAAAGCATCCACGCTTCGAGAGCGCTCCGAGAGATGATCGCTCGTCCAAAAATCAGCCGAAACGAGTGGAAATCGGCCGAGAAAGGAGCCTTTGAAATTGAGAATTTCGCACCCTTTTCCTGCCCAGGTTCTCGCAGCACGTGTCGCTCGCGGACCTCGACCGCTTCGCCGCGGAGATGGAGGCGACGTTCCCGCGGCCCGAACACGGCCCGCTGCCTTTCGACGACCACAAGTCGAGGAGCCTGTCCCAGCAGTCGAAGTTCGACGCGTCGACGCTCCGGTCGCGCGCTGTGTGGAATTCAACCACTGGTTTGGGTGGTCCTGACCAAACTTGAGAATTCTCTAGCTCGATCAAATCGGAGTCGATTCGGCTGATTTTTGGACGAATCGATTGCTCTCGTCGAGTTCTCGAAGCACAGCCGAAGAGCTTGCGTCAAAACTGTCGCATATGAGCACATTGAAGTCGGGTTGAAGATTTGAATTCCACTCAGGTCGCGCGCGGCGTCCGGCGACGTCGAGGTCGACGACGACGTGCTCGAGGCCGTGCCCCTCTTCCCGAAGCGCGACGAGTCGCCGGTCCACGCGGCCATGAACGCGGCGCGCCGCCGCGTCGCCGCGGCCCAGGCCGCGCACGCGCGGAACCGCCGCGACGACCCGCTGCCCTTCGCGTCGACGGCGTCCGGCGCGGCCTTTGCGCTGGGCGGCAACACCATGTCCATCCACCAGCCCGTGCCCAAGCCCAAGGTCGTCGTCGCGCTGCCCCTCGCGCCCCGCCGGCGCCGGAGGGAGGACGATTAACTTGAGTTAAAACTTGAGCACCGTGTGTTGCATGCGCTGTTGCAGTGCACCAACGGCCGGCGCCGCGACTAGTGGTCTATGCGACCGCACACACCGAAAAGGGCTGCAGCTGGTGAATGGGCGCGCTCCACCCGCCCGTGCGGCTGCGCTGCATCGGCCGCCAGGGCGCCCGCGTGCGCACGACGGAGGATCTCGCGTCGGCCTACGTCTGCGACATCGCCAAGGGCGACGTCGTCGTCGGCGTGCGCGAGGCCTCCATCGTGACCAAGGGCAGGCGCGAGACGCGCGTGCTCATCGAGTCCCAGGGCTGGGTGTCGCGCAAGTGCTTCGTCGCCGAGGCCGCCGCGCTGCCGCCGCCGCGGCCGCCGTGCCACGCGCGGTACCACGTCGTCGTAATAGGCGCGGGCCCGCTCGGCCTCGCCTGCGCGGCCCTGTGCAAGCGGCGGGGGCTCGGCGTGACCGTGCTGGAGAAGCAGGCGTCCCTCGGCGGCGACTGGCGCAAGCACGGCAACGCCTGGAGCGAGCTCCAGACCCACAAGGCCGGCTACCTCATCGGCGAGCCGCGCGACCCGGCCTGGTCGGGCCTGCCGTCCTACCCGGGCCGGAGCGACATGCTCAAGTACTTCGCCGACTTCGCGTCGCTGAACGGCCTCGACGACGACATCGTCTTCGACGCCGAGTACGTCGAGCGGTCGCGCGTCGACAATCGCGGCACGATGGACGTCCGCTACTCCCAGGGCGGCCGCGAGCTGCGCACGTTGGAGGCGACGCACGTCTTCGCGGCGCCCGGGCGCGTCAACGTGCGGCGGGACGTGACCCTGCCCGGCGAGGACGACTTCGGCGGCGTCGTGGCCTACGGCAACGGCGGCGACCTCTCGGGTGTGGCGCTCGAGAACCGGCGCGTCGTCATCCTCGGCGCGGGCTCCTTCGCCCTCGAGAACATGCGCCACGCGCTGCTCGCCAAGGCGCGCGCCGTGACGCTCGTCGCCCGCGACGACCAGCTGGTGTTGAGCAAGGCCGCGAGCTACATGATCGACAGGAACGCGGACGCGGGCGTCCCCCGCGACGCGGTCATCGCCGGGCTCGCGCCGGCCTACGCGCTCCTGGGCCGCGGCGAGGCCTGGCTGCGGGATCTCGTGAACCGGTCCTCGCGGCGGCGCACGACGACGCCGACGTCGGACCTCTACTTCCTCGCGCTCGCGACGGGCGCGGCCTCGCAGCGCAAGAACGCGGTGAGGCGGCTCGAGCCGGGCGTCGTCGTGCTGGAGAACGGCGAGCGCCTCGCCGCCGACGTCGTGCTCAAGTGCTTCGGCTTCGGCCGCGACACGGACCTCGACGCGCGCGTCGTCTGGCCCGCGGGCGAGCGCGACGGGCGGACCGTGGAAGACGGCTGGTGGAACCGCTTCGTCGACGACGGCAGGCGCGTCTTCCTCACGTCGAGCACGGCGAACGAGTCCTTCGTCCCCAAGCCGGGGGACCACTGGCCGGGCAACGTCTTCATGCCCGCGGGCACCGCGGAGATCTTTCTGAGCGGCGCGGCGGGCTTCGGCGAGCCGGGCTCGCCGCGGGGCGTGCCGACGGCGTGGGACCGCGCGGCGCGGCGCCACGGCGACCGGACGCGGACCCTGGGCCCGACGGACGCGGCCCTGCTCGCCGAGCTCGCGGCCGCGTGGGACGACTACGCGGCGCGGCTCGGCGTAGCGCCGCCGCGCTACCCCTACGCCGCGGTCCCCGGGGCCGACGGAGACACACGAGCTCTGTAAATTGCGGCACCGAGGGGGGGTGCGGGGGACGCGACGGCGGGAGGAGCCCGGTGTCGAGAAAGCAAAAAGCGAAAGCAGGGCGAATCATCACGAGCCGGGGCCGAGGCGCCGCGGCGGCAGCTCCGGCGTCAGCGTCGCCGGCAGGTTGGGGTAGCAGGGCGTGCAGGGCGCGCTGGGCTTCCGCTCGGCGGCGTCGAGCTCCGGCGGCAGCCGGAGGCCCTGCACGAAGGGCCCGCGCTTCTCCTCGAAGAACGACTTCTGCGCCGACGGCGCGCCGCCCGCGGCGGGCCGCGCGTCGCGCGTCGTCATGTCGGCGAGCTGGCGGTGGAGGGTCTCGGGCGACTCGTTCTGGGTCGCCAGCGACGCGCGGTCCGCCCGGCCCACGGCGACGCACTCGGGCACGTAGACCGCGTCCTTGCACTCGGGGGGCAACCTCATGTTCGCGAGCCCCGGCCGGTCGCCGGGGTAGCTCGCCGCGGGGCGCGACATGGTGGGGCGCACGCCCCGCCCGCGCTCGGGGGGGGGGAGGGGGCCAGGCGCGGGTGTTAGGCCCCGCGGGGCTGCCCCGCTTCGACGCCGAGTGCGAATGCTCGCAGCCAGACACCGGGTTTCAGAGCCTTGATGCTGACGAAAATGGTTTTACAATGCCGTTCCCGCGGTGTTCCCTAGCCATCCGTGCGCCGAACCGGGGCCATCCGTCGCCAAGATCGCCGATGGTGCCGGACCGGCATGCCGATGGTGCCTATTGATGGCGAGCACGATGCGTCGCGCGACTCTCGCGGCGCTGCTGCTGCTGCGCGTCGCCGCGCCGCGGCCGCTGGGTTCGAAGGCGGCGCGCGTCGCCGCGCCGCGGCCGCCGCCGAAACGTGCGCTGCCGGAGGACTGCGCCAACAACACGCTCATCTTCGGCGTCGGGCTGCCCAAGTCCGGCACGCGCAGCCTCGGGGCAGCCGCGAGCGCATTGGGCATCACGTCGGCGAAGGGCATGACGAGGGGCGAGCACGGCGTCGAGTACGGCTTCCGCAAGCACCTGATCCCCTTCGCCGCGGGCTCCGCGAACGCGTCGAACCCGCTGCGCCGGCTCGACGAGCACGCCTGGGCGACGTCGACGCTCTACACGGACTTTCCCTTCTACGCGCTGAGCTGCGCGCTGGCGGCCGCGTACCCTCGGGCGCTCTTCGTCGACGTCCGCCGCGACTGCGACGCCTGGGCCCAGTCGGCCCTGAGCCAGCTCTTCTGCGTCTGGCTCCGGGCCGGGTGCATGCGCGCGGAGACCTTTTGCGCGAAGCGCGCGACGAACGTCCCGAAGACGCACATCGCGGTTGGGTTTTGCACGACCAAGTGGTGCGTCGCCCGGCGTCGACGATCGCCGCGAGACCCTCGCGCAGGTACTTCGACCAGTTCGAGCCCGGCCTCGTCGGAGACGACTTCTGCCCGCGGCGCAAGGAGATCTGCGGCGTCGGCGCGTCCGGGCAGAAGACGTACAACGGGGACCGACCCGGCGACGCCGGGCCTGCTCCGGCGGCTCGAGCGCGTCTGCCGGGCGCACCCGAAGCGCGTCGAATCCTGCGTGCCGCCGGAGCGGCTCCTGTCGATCCGGCTCGCGGCCGACGCGGGCGAGGTCGCCAAGCTCGCGCCCTTCGTCGGCTGTCCCAATTCGTCCGCTGCGATCGCCGACGCCTGGGCCGCGAACGGGCCCCAGGGCCACCAGCATGGGAATCGCGGCGAGGCGCTCGCGCGCGCGCCGGTGGGCGTCTGGGACTGGTCGGGGCGGAGCCGGCGAGACGCGACGGACGACCCGGCCGCGGCGCCGGGACGACCGTCGCCCCGGAACGCCTCCAAGCGCCACCGCTTCGAGCGGGGGCACGAGCGCCGAGTGTAGACTCGCTCGCGGCGCCGAGTGTAGACTCGCTCGCGCCGAGTGTCGACTCGCTCGCGCCGAGTGGCGACTCGCTCGCGCCGAGTGTCGACTCGCTCGCGCCGAGTATAGACTCGCTCGCGCCGAGTATAGACTCGCTCGCGCCGAGTATAGACTCGCTCGCGCCGAGTGTCGACTCGCTCGCGCCGAGTGTCGACTCGCTCGCGCCGAGTGTCGACTCGCTCGCGCCGAGTATAGACTCGCTCGCGCCGCGCGTCGAGGGCAGTTTAGTTACGAGCTTGCGCGCGCCGCGCCGCTGCCGCCGCGTCACTTGTTCGCGCTGCCCTGCTTGATGAGCCAGGAGAGGACCTGGTCGATGTTGATGACCTTGAGGGCGGAGACGGGGATGACGATCCAGGGGTTCTCCGTGATGTAGTCGAGGTTCAGTTCTCTGATCAGGTCGGGCTCCGAGATGTGCGGATCGAGGTCGATCTTGTTCGCGATGACGAGGAGCGGCGTCGTCGCGAGCTCGCGGTCCTCCAACAGCCGGTGGAGCTCCTTGCGCGCGAGGGGGATGGAGTCGAGCGCGTTCGCGTCGACGACGTAAATAATCACGTCGCAGCCGCGCGTGTACCTTCCCCACTCGGACCGGTACTGGGCCTGGCCCCCGATGTCCCAGCACTTCATCTGCACGCCCCCCTTGCGCACGAGCTTCACGTTTAACCCGATGGTCGGGCACGTCTCCACGGGGCGGCCCGCCGCGAGGACGTTGAGGAGCGTCGTCTTGCCGCTGTTCTCGAGGCCCACGAGGACGACCTCGAGCTTCTTGTTGTAGAAGGCGTCGAGGAGCTTCGTGAAGATGGCGCCCATGGTCTCTCCGGCGGGCGCGGACCGGTCCCCGGCCCTGGCACGCGCGCGCCGCGACGGTCGATCGAAATGGCGGGCGTCGACGCGGCCTCGAGTTTTTGACACAAGCGATTTGTGAAGCGATGGTGAAGAGCTTGCTCGCAAAGCATGGACGCGCCATCACGCAGTTGACGCGCGTCCAGTGCAAGCCATGAGCGCGCTCGACGCCGCGACGAACGACCTCGCGACCATCACACTAAACGCGCGACCGCAAAACGCCGCCCTCGAGAACCTCGAAAACAGCGGCGACGCGCGCATCGGCTGGCCCGACGAGAAACCGCCCGTCCCGACCAACAGCGACGGCTGGTTCCTCCCCGCGAACCAGCAGGTGCTGCGCGACCTCGTGAAGCCCGACGCGCTCGTCCTGGAGCTCGGCAGCTACATCGGGAAAAGCACGCGCTTCATCGCCGGCCTCCTGCACGAGGGCGGCCACCTCCTCACGTGCGACGCCTGGGACAACGACCTGCTCGAGGGCGCCCTCGGCCACAACTACCTGCGCAGCGACGACGAGAAGCGGAGCTTCGAGCTCTACGAGACGTTCCTCGTCGGAGACTCGGCGTCCGACGGCGCGCGGAAACAAGTGCCAACCCCGTCGATCTCCGTAGGTGAACCTCTGGGACCTGCGCCGCACGGTGACGCCGATGAAGATGCTCACGGTCGACGCGATCCGAGCAACAAAGGCCGCGGGCCTCGCGCCGGATTTGATATACGTCGACGCGGACCACGACTACGCGGGCGTGCGCCGCGACGTCGAGCTCTGCTCCCGGCTCTTCCCGGACGCCGTCTTGGTCGGCGACGACTGGGACTACGCGGGCGTGCGCGAGGCCGCGCAGGAGCTCCGGGGGTCCCGCCCGCTGCACGTCGGCGGCTTCAAGTGCTGGGCCTACGCGGAGCTGCCGCGGTCCGCCCGCGCCGTCGTCGTGCCGCCCCACGACAACCCGATCGCCATGGGCGGCGTGACCTTCTGGCCCGACGCGCGCAAGCAGGAGCGGCGCGACGTGCTGCTCTTCCGCTGCGTCTTCGACCAGCTCCAGGCCTGGGACAACGCCGAGGCGCTCGAATACCTGCTCGAGGCGACGGCCTGCGCGCCGGACGCGTCGTCGCCGAGCCACAAGCACCGGACGCTGCTCATGGTCGCCGCGCTCTTCGGGCGGGTCCGAGGCATCCGCGCGCTGGCGGCGCGCGGCGCGGACGTGAACCGCCAGGCGCCGGGCTCGGGCGAGCACGCGTTGCAGCTCGCGGCCTACGGCGGCCGGCTCGACGCCGTCGCGGAGCTCCTGCGCCTCGGCGCGGATGCGACCCTGCGCACGAAGTACGACGAGACGGCCGAGGACGCCGCGCGCGCGAACGGCCAGGACGCCTGCGCGGAGCTGCTCCGCACGGGCGCGGCGCCCGCGCGGCGCGACGCGGCGACAAGGACGGTCCGGGCCGACGCGGCCAAGGGCGAGAAGGCGCCCTGGTTCGACGCGGCCGCGACGGCGGTCTACGCGCGGACGCCGCCCGCCGCCACGCCGGCGCCGGCGCCCTGGCGCCGCGGCGGCGGCTCGCGGCCGCGCGCGCGCGGCGGCTATCGAAGGTAACATTTACTGCACCACTTCAAGCATTTTCGTAATTGAAGGAGTTACGATTTCTGGCACGATGTTCCACTTATAAAATGACGATGCTCTCGACGACCGGCGAGCATGTCGTCTACGTCATCATGTTCTGGCTCGTCCAGCTCGAGGTGTCGCTCTGCGAGGACATGTTCGGCTCCCTCGACGGCAAGACGTCCCTGGCCTACCCCGCGATCTGGCCGCGGCCGCCGACGGAGGCGCTCCGGAGGCTGCTGCCCAACGTCGCCCACGAGTGGTGCCGGAAGACGGGCGTGCGCTGGCTCGTCGCCCGCGCGGGCCTCGCCGCGGGCGTCGTCGCGGCGGCCGCGCCGCCGCTCCGGCCCGCGGCGACGCCCGCGTTCCTGGTAATATACGCCGTCGAGTGCTACTGCTTCTTCGTCAAGTTCGGCGCCCACATGCACTTCGCGCCCCTGCTCCTCGCCTGGGGCACGCACGTCGTCGACCGGCGCGCGAGGTACCGGGGTTTGTTTTTGTTGTGCGTCGCGGCGCAGACCTACGCGTCGTCCGGGTTCTGGCGCGGCCTCCAGTTCTACCGCACGGGCGTCCCCGGCGACGTCGTCGAGGGCACCTACGGCGTGTCCCTGAAGCACTTCACGACGAACCTCTTCGGCATGGCGCCGCGGCTGCGGGCCCGGGTCCTCGCGTGCTCGGAGCGATTCCTCGGCGCTTCGTTCCTCGCCGTGACCCTGGCCTTCGAGGGCCTCGTCTGGGTGCTCGTCGTCGGCCTCGAGGTCGCCCTGGTCGCCCTGCCGCCGGGCGGACGCCGCGACGCCGCGGCGGCGTGCCAGGCCTGGGTGCGGCTGGGCCTCGCGGGTTGCGTCGTCGCGTTCCACCAGACGAACTTCATGGTCCTCGGCATGTTCTTCGGGGCCATGAGCTTCGTCGTGGCCGTGGTGCTGCTGTACAGCCCGTCGGCCCTCGACGACGCCGTGGACGAGGCGAGCCCCGGGTCCCACGCGTACGCGCTGGCCAACGTGTTGGCGCTCGCCGTCGCGTCGTACCACTGCCGCGAGGTCTTCCCCTTCAACGCGAACGGCCTCTTCTCCTACGCAACGTGCCACGCGACGCTCCTCTCGACGGCCTGGGCGCTGACGGATGCGACGACGGATTCGACGGAGCTCGCGCTGCTCATCGTCGGGCCGGGCCAGAGCCTCGAGGCCGCGGCGCGCGAAAACCGGCGGCCGTGCCCGCTGGGCGTGTCGCCCGTGGGCGGCTGGGTCGCGGGCCGGCTGCCGTCGCCGCCGGCGCGCGCGTTCTGCGACGAGGTCTACCGCCGAGCCGCCGCGGCGGCGCTCCTCGACGACCCCAAGGACGCGCGCGGCGGGCCGAGGCGCCTCGCCGGCTACCCGGGCGTCGCGGACATCGTCCTCGGGAGCCCCGAGCTCCTCGCCATGATCTCGGCCATGAAGCGTGATCTCGCGGCGACGAAGCCCTTCTACGACGTCGTCGCCCAGTCCGACGACTTCACGATGATATTGGCGGAGGTCGGCCGGAAGGACGGGGTCCAGCGCGTCGTCCGCGTCATCGAGACGCCCTAAGTGTTTTTGTGAGCCGCGAAACCGTCGCTTACTCCGCCTGCTTAAACTCCGGGACCTGGGCCGGCGCCTCCGTCGCCTCCTCCTCCGTCGCCTCCTCCTCCTCCTCCTCCTCGGGTTCCGTGCGCACCTGGAGCGTCTTCCAGTTGAACTCCCACGCCGCGCCGCTCTCCGGGTCGCCGTGCTGGCTCCAGTCGCGGTCCAGCGGCACGTGCGTCGGCGTCGCCAGCTGCACGTTGAGCGCGGCGCTTTCCGCCAAATTCACGTGCGCCTGGTGCCAGCCCGTGGGGACGTAGAGCACCTCGCCCGGCCGCTGGACGCACTCGAGGGGCTTCGGGAAGGGCCAGTTGCCGGCGTCGAGGCGGTCCGCGAAGGCGTGGACGCCGCCCTCGGGGTAGTGCGAGACCGGGGGAAATAGGAACCAGCGCGTCGCGCCGTAGGCGAGCGCGTGGTACGCGGCGCCCTGGACGTGGAACGTCGCGCCCGAGCCCGGACCCCCAACCGCCACGAGTGCCATGGCCGCCCGCTCCTCCTCGGCGATGTCGTGGCGCTCGTGGCGCTCCGATTCGACCATGAGCGCGTCGAGCTCCGGCGACTCCGTGTTCAGCAGCTCGACGAGCTCCTCGTTGCGCTCGAGCACGTAGGGCGCCTCGCCCGCCAGGACGTCCATCTTGAAGTGGACGAAGTCGCGCAGCGTCGTGAAGGGCTGCTCCTCGACCCAGCCCATGAAGCTGTAGGCCCGGCGCGCGGCCGTCATCGAACTGTCGTGCACGAAGACGGACTCGTCGCCGAGCGGCGCCGCGGCGAGCGCCTCCTTCGTCCAGCCGGGCTGCATGGCCCCGAGGAGGCCGCCGAGGAGCACGGGCTTCTCCGGGACGACGTACTCGCTCGTGAAGGACTCGAGGGTGAGCCCCGCGCGCCGGTCGACGGTCTCGGGCGTCTCGTTCAGCTTCGGCGTCGCCCAGCCGCCGGAGTCGCCCGCGGGCGGCGCGTAGTCCGCCGCGGGCGGCGGCGCGTCCCCCGTGCCCGCGCGGGCCCGCGCCAGCACCGCCGCGTAGGCGCCGGCGCCGCCCCACGCGAGCGCCTGGTCCGCGACGGACCACGAGCTATGCGCCTTGACCATCTCGAACTCGTCCGCGCCGTCCCCGCCGGCCTCCTGGGCGGCGACGCCGCGGCAGATCGCGGCCAGCATCTCCGTGCGGCCGCCGCCGAGCTCCTCGGGCAGGAACGGGAGGCCCTCCGCCGCGCGGCCCAGCGTCGCCAGCGTGAAGCAGAGCGTCGACGCGAGCTTGGGCGCGTCGTCGCCGTCCGCCGGGAGGGCGAGCGCCTTCTTGAGCACGGCGGCGGCCTCTTCCAGCTTTTCGAGCTTGAGCAGGGCGTTGACGTAGGCGTCGAGGCCCGCCTCGCCGAGGTCGACGCGGTCCTCGTCGCCGACGGCCGACCACATGTCGTCGAAGAGCGCCACGGCCTCGGCGTGCTCGCCGCCGCGCGCGCGGAAGAGGGCCGTGTTCACCTTGACCTCGCCGACGTTTCGCGGCGAGCACTCGATGGTTTCGGTCAGCTTCGCGAAGGCCGCGGGGCGGTCCGTTTTCAGCAATTCGGACGCGTCCTTGATGACCTACCAAATGCGTCGGTGACGATTATTCGTCGTTTTCCCGGTCCGAAGCTCTCAAAAATCGTTCCGGGACGCTGTTGATGACCTGGCGCGCGTCCATGATCGACAGCTGGCACTCGCCCTCGGGCGGCTTCTGGTATTCGTAGGGAATCTCGTACTTGGCGCGCTTCGTCGGCGTGGCCTTTTTGCTCCGCAGCTTGCTCTTCGGTGGGCCGCCCGTCGGCCAGAACACGCTGGCGAGGAGCGCGACCGCGACCGCGGCGCCGGCGCCGAGCATCTTCTTGTCCATTGGCTTGCCCCGCTTCTTGATAGTCATCTTTGGCTTCGGCTTCGCCGCGATGACGGTCGACTTCTTCGGCCCCATGGTTGCCAGCGAGCGCGAGTGGCTGCCACAGCGAGTTTGCGAGAGCGTGCGATCGAGATTCGGGGGCAGCATCGAGGTCAATGTTATGTGCAACGTTACAATTCGGGCAGCGTATGGTCCGTCCCTCTGACACTCTCGCGGTAACGGTGTAGCTTCGCCGTTCGTGCTGATGGGTCGCGGCGCCGGCTCTGGACGCGGCAAGGGCGGGCGCGGCGGCGGCGGGCACCACGTGTGCGTGCTTGGTTTCGCATCCGACGCGTCCAACCTGATGTCTCTGGTAGGTGGACGGGCCCGCCGCAGCCGCGGCAGTGCCCCATGGGCACCATCGTCGCCGTCAAATGCGCCGCGTGCGGCGAGCCGAACAACGTCGCCGTCAAGTTCGGCAAGACGGGCCAGTTCGAGTGCGGCAAGTGCGACGCGACGACGGCCTGGCCCATCCGCGACTATTGGGAGGCGTACGAATGGGCGGGAGGCAAGCCCATGCCCAACCCGGACCGCGTCGACCCGCACCCGCTCGGGGACCCCGTCGCGATCCAGGGCGCGGTCGACGGCAAGAACCAGCGCGCCCAGGTCATGGGCTGCTGCGTCGTCATGTGATCGCCGCCGTGCTTCCGTACCGCCTCGCCCTGGTCGTGCGCTCTCCGTGCCCCCCTTGCATCTCCTCCCCTTCGATTCTTCCCTTTGCTAAGGCTGTGCTACTAGAGTCTAGTAGAGTCTCTATCTAGAGAGGCCTCGCGAGTCCTCTGTCGAGTGGCTGTGGACAGCTTCTGCCTTCGCCGAGATCTCGAGGTCGCGAGAGCGCGAGCGTGAGCTTTGCCGTACCCGACGCGTCCAGACCTCAGGATCAATCGCGATGTCTCACTCACTTGAGGGAACCGGTAAACTCGCACCATCTCTTGAGAACATGATTGCCGAGGTCCGTTCGATGCGGATCAGCGAGCTCAAGGCGGCGCTTCGCGCAAATGGCGTAACCGATACTGCGACCTTCCGTGAGAAGCGAGATCTCGAGGATGCCCTGATCAGCAAGCTCTCGGACGCCATGATCAACAGCGTCGCGGCCGGCTTGCCCACGGGAGTTTCCAAAGAGGAGCAACTCGAGACGGCCCAAAAGCCGTCGGACGTCCCCGCACACCTCCGCGTCCCGGGCGTCGAGGCGCCGACGGTGCTCGGCATGTTCGCGAAACTCGCGCCGACGAATCCCGGTCCGACGCCTGCGACGTTGGACGCCTTCAACGAGGTGCTCTCCGGCGCGCCCGCGCCCGCGGAGATCCGCGCCGATTGGCCGTTCCCGGCGGACGCGGCGGACCCCGTCGCGCGCCTCGAGATGATCGAATCGCACCTCGTCTTCAAGTTCGAGTCGCCGCTCGCGGCGCACGTCTGGGTCTGGAAGATCAACTACCAGATCTTCGCCGGAGAAGGCGCGATGATGCTCGGGACTCAGAACATGCCTCCCGAGAAGTGCGGGTTTCGTATCACCTCGACGCTTTTCTACCTCGTGCGCTACATCGCATTTCTCGGCCTCGTCTACGAGGACGGGGCGTGGCGCCTGACGTGCGAGAACAAGGTCGGCCGCTACGAGCCCGGGCGCGGCGAGAAGGAGCCGCTCCTCCAGTGGTGCCTCCGGACCATCGACCGCCTCGCGGGCCGCCTCACGTACGAGACGCCCCACGGCCAGACGCCGTGAAAGCGCCCGCCGGCACCCTACTAGGCACTACGTCTCGCTGTTACGAACCGTCACCCCCATCGCCCTCGTCCGCGCCGACGACGCCCGCGGCGCCGACGGCGTAGGCGAAGGGTGCGGGCGCGACCGCGGGCGACTTGACGACGGACGCGCTGCGCGCGCGGCGCTCGACGCCCGCCCGCGGCGGCGCGGCGTCGAGGAGCACGCGCGTCGTCACCGCGTGGTGCCACGTGAGCCCGAGCGCGGGCGTCACCGCGTCCTCGGCCGACGCGCCGTCGGCCTTGAAGTCGGCCATGACGTGGTTCGAGACGACGACGGCGACGTCCGCCTCGACGGCGACGCGCTTGAGCGCCGCGGCGGCGCGCGCGAGCCACTTCTGGCGGTCGACAAGTCCGCGCGCCCCGCGAAGTCGCCGCGCGCGATCGCCGCGACGGAGTCGAGCACGCAGAGCCGCGCGCCGCTCTCTGCCGCGCGCTGGAGCACGTCGCCGCGCTCGAGGACGGCGAGGAGCTCCGCCGCGGACCCGGGCCGCAGCACATGCACGCGGCGCAGCAGGTCCGTCGCGGTGCCGGCGGCGCCGCGCGCCTCCGCGATCTGCCAGAGGCGCTTGCCGCGGAACGTCGACTCCGTGTCCACGTAGACGACGGCGTGGCCCGCCGCCGCGCAGGCCGCCGCCAGCGCGAAGCAGCACTGCGTCTTGCCCGCGCCCGCGCGGCCCACGAACTCCGTGAGCGACCCGCGCCGCGCGCCGCCGCCGAGCGCGCGGTCGAGCGGGCCGCAGCCGCTGGCCACGTGGCGCTCGGCCGTCGCCAGCAGCGCGCGCGCGCTCGTCGGCGCGAGGCGCTGCGCCGCCGCCGCGCGCAGGCGCTTCACGCGCGCCGGGCTGCAGCCCAGGAGCTGCATCAGCTGGGCGTCGCAGCGCTCGACGACGTCGACGTGCGTGCGCACGCCGTCCTGGGCCAGTATGCGTGCTTCCTCATCGCTGGGGGGCTCGGGTGCCGCCGGCGGCAAATTGTCCGCCCAGCTGCTCATCGCGCAAAGGGGTCTGGCCGCCGCCGCCCATTTGCTTTGATCGGCTGTGGCAAAGCGCGCGCAAAGCATGGCGCCCAAGCGCTCGCGCAGCGGGCGGCGCAGCGGACGCGGCGGCGGCGGCGGCGGCGCCGGCGGAGGCAACAGCGGCAAGCCCACGGCGCCAGCGCGCCGCCGCGGCCGCGACGAGGTCAAGCGCTTCGTGCCGACGCGGGCGCGCGGCGGCGACAACACGAGCACACAGCCCTCGACCGCGCACAACAACGACGACGACGACGCCGACGACGACGCCGACGACGAGGACGAGGAGCCGCCGCGGAAGCGCGCGGCGACGAAGCTGGACGTCGCCGGGCTCGACGACGACGACGCGTCCGACGACGACGCCGCGGAGGCGCCGCCGGCGCCGCCGCCGAAGCGGGCGCCGCCGCCGAGGAAGGCGCCGCCGCCCGCGAAGCCGGCGCCGCCCAGGGCGCCGCCGCCCGCGAAGCCGCCGAAGCCGCCGTCGCCCGTCGCGGTCTGGCGCGGCGGCGCGAAGCCGCCGCGGAGGCTCGGTCCGGCGGCGATGGCCGAGCTCGCGTCGGCGCTGCAGAGCGACGCCCGCGGCGCGCCCTTCGGCGCCTTCGCGCCGTCGAAGCCCAAGGCGCCGCCGCCGCCGGGCGACCAGTACCGCGTCGACGTCGACCCGCGGCCCCACCCGCCGCCGCCGCCGCCGCGCGCCGCGCCGGTCGACGCCGCGCCGGCGGACGCCGCGCCCGAGCCCGAGGCGGACGACGAGCCCGCCGAGGGCGGCCGCGAGTCGCCCTGCGCGGCGGCGCGGGCGCGCACGCCCCGCGCGGCGCCGCCGCCGGCCGCCGCCGCCGAGGCCCGCGACGCGCGGGGCAGGAAAAGAGTGCGAAATTCCCAACTTCAAAGGCTCTTATCTCGGCCGGTTTCCACTCGTTTCGGCTGATTTTTGGACGAGCGATCATCTCTCGGAACGGCCTCAAAGCGTGGATGCTTTTTCTGGAACGCGCGCGCGCGGAACGCTCACGTTGAAGCGACGTTGAATCACCCTTTTCCTGCCCAGGCGACGCGTCGAAGCCGCTCTTCGGGCTCGTCGCGAAGCCGTCCGCGTTCGAGACGGCCGACGCGTCGCCGCTGTCGCCCTGGTGGCTCGGCGGCGGGCCGCCGTCGCTGGCCAAGAAGCACGCGCCCCCGGCCTGGCTCGCGCCCGCGGCGAAGCCGGCGTCGCCGCCGAAGCCGCCCGCCGAGGCCGCGCGCGACGCGCGCGCGCGATTCGCCGCGGAGGGCGCCGAGTCCGCGAGCTTCGACGCGTTCCTCCTCGGCGCCCTCGACCCGGCGACGTAACCCTCGATCGATTCTTAAGTGACAAACTACGTGTTCCGCTTGAGCCCGACGAACGAGAGGACGCGGAAGCCCGCGGCGAAGGCGAGCAGCGCGAGCACGTCGACGTAGAGCGGCTTCTGGAGCACCTGCACGTTGAGGCCCGTGTGGTCGCCGACGTCGCGGCGCTCGCCGCCGTCGACGTAGGACGCGCCGCGGAACTCGACCTTCAGCATCGCCGAGAACGAGTACTTGGTGAAGGACAAATAGCCGAGCCAGTCGAGCCAGGCGGGCACGTTGGCGACGTAAAACCCGCCGCACATCATCGTCGTCAACATGAACACGGTCTCGAAGGTCGCCGCGCGTTTCAGGTCCGCGATCCACGCGCCGATGGCCAACCCCGCGGACTGCGCCGCGAGGCCGTTGCAGAAGAGCACGAGGCAGTGCCACGGGAGCTTCGCGGGCCGCAGACCCACGGCGAAGTAGTAGAGCAGGGCGAAGAGCGGCGACACGAGGCACGCGGACACCGTGTCCACCGTCGTCCGCGCGCAGAAGAACGCCGACACGGAGTACAGGCCCGCCGCGCGCTCCTTGACGAGCACGTCGTGCGCGGGCGGGAACGCGAAGAGCGCCTGGATCATCATCTGGAACCCCCAGTACACGGGCTGCAGGAAGAGCAGCCCCACCGTGTCCTCCACGGACGCGTCCGTGCGCGGGCGCACGGCCGCGCGGCCGCTCCAGAGCGCCGCGCAGAGCAGCGTGATGGAGCCGATGTTCGCGAGGAACATGGGGTCGATCAAGTCGAGGCGGTGCGCGAGCCAGCTCCGGCGGAAGAGGATCGCGTACTGCGCCGTCCAGGGGAGCACGCCGCCGTCCGCCGCGGGCGCCGCGACCGCGACGGCGACCGCCGCGGCCGCCGGCGCCTTCGCGACGGCGTCGAAGTCGCCCGTGCACAGCACGTCCAGCAGGTGGTCCGCGCAGGGCGTGCCGCGGGGCCGCGCGCGCTTCGCGCAGAGCGCGTCGATCGCGCCGTCCGCGGGGCCGGCGTAGGCCGCGGCGCCGTCCAATAACAAGTGGAGCTCGTCGAAGGCGTAGAACATGGCGTCCGTCGGCTGGTGCAAAGTGGCCAGCACCGTCCGGCCGTCGCGGACCATGGTCTTGAGCAGCTGGAAGAGGCGCGCGGCCGCGAACGAATCCAAGCCTACCACGCACGACGGTGACGATTGCTCAGTGTTTTCCCACCCCACATCTCTCGAAACTCGTTGCGGGACGCCGATCCGAGCCCGACGTCGGCTCGTCGAGCAGGACGAGGTCCGGGTCGAGGAGCAGCTCGTGGCCGATGGACACGCGGCGCCGCTGGCCGCCGGAGATCTCGCGCTGGATGTTCGCGCCGCCGATGGGCTGGTCCGCGCAGGACTCGAGCCCGAGCGCGGCGACGGCCGCGGCCGCTCGCGCCGCCGGGTCCGCGGCGCCGCGGAGCTCCGCCGCGAAGCGCAAAGTCTGCCGCACCGTGAGGTCGCCGAGGAGCGTGTCCTCCTGCTCCACGAAGGCGAGGCGGCGCTTGTGCGCGCTCCGCGACCACGCCGCGCCGTCGTAGCGCAGGGACCCGCCCGTGACGACTACTTTCCGCTCGAAGCGCGACGAGATCGCCGCAAGGAGCGTGCTCTTGCCGGACCCGGAGGGCCCGAGCACGGCCGTGAGCGCGCCGCGGTCCGCGCGGCCCGTGAGCCCGTGGAGCACCTCCGCGCGCTTCGGGCCCACGCAGACCGTCAGGGCGCTCCACTCGACGCTGAGGCCGCTGACGGCCGTGGCGACGGCGTCCTTGCTCGGCGCCGCGCCGGCGACGACCTCGACGTAGCCGGGGTTGCACATCGTTTTTGTCGCTACTACGGTGCGCGCGTGCTGTGTGTCGCGTGGGTTTCCAGCGGCGCGAGTTTGTCTGACTAGCACATCGGTGCGCGCCACGGTGGTTTGCTTCACCGGAGCGCACGGTCACATCACGGTCCGTCAAACATCGCGTCGTTGAGATGCCCCAAAGCTGTCGAACAATCGAGAGGCCAAGGCTGGCACGCCCCGGGCGGGGCAGCCGCCGGGAGCGCATCCGTCGACCACAGACACCCATGGCGGCCGTCGACGTGTCCGACGAACCGCCGCCGCCCGCGCCCAAGGAGCGGAGCGGGCTCCTCGAGTTTCTCATTTGCGGCGACGAGGAGGTCGCCGTCTGGGACCGCATCCGCCCCGACGCGCCGTCCGCGGCGAGCCCGGCGCGGCGCATCGAGGAGCTCGAGAACACGGTCAAGGAGCTGTCGCGCCTCGTGAAGCCCCACCTGCGGCACAAGCACAGCAAAAAGCACCCGAAGAAGAAGGAAAAAGAAGTCGAGTTCGAGGCCGTCGACGACGACGAGGAGTGCAAGGACTCGTCGTCGTCGTACAGCGAACCCCACGGCACCGGCGGCATCGTCGACATCCTCACGCACAAGCACCACGAGGCCGCCCCCGCACGGCCGGGCGTCGACCGCGCGTCGAGCGTCGGCGAGGACGACGAGGGTACGACGCCCGGGGGCTCGCGGCGCCACTCGAAGCGGACGTCGACGGTGCTCCGCGAGGGCTTCGAGGCGGTCACGGGCGTCCACATCGACGCGCCTGTGTTGAAGAAGCAGGAGTCGCTCGTCGGGCGCGAGCGGGAGGAGTACCTGACGATGATCCAGGGCGAACTCGCCGACCGTGCGTTCGGCTCTTCCTACTGCTACACGCAGTTCAAGCTCGTCCACCTCACGCTGAGCTTCTCGTCGCTCACGTCCGCGGCCTGGACCTACACGGGCCTCTGGCTCCAGGCCTACGTATTGTGCACGGTCATCGACGCCAAGTACATGAACTGGGACAACCGCAACGTGACGCCGCTCAACTACGAGTCCGCGTCGAACTACTACACGACGAACCCCATGCGCGACGGCTCGGAATACTCGGAGAACTGGTACGAGCTCACGCGCAAGGGCCACGTCTGGGACATCCCCTTCATCATCATCGGGCCCCTCATGTTCGCGTCTTTGATGATCGCGCTGAGTTTGCGCCAGGAGATCCACGAGTTGGTGGTGGGCGCGCTGCTGGTGATGCCCAAGTGGGAGGAGTTCCAGCTCTGCGAGACGAGGCTGCAGCGCGCGGGCTGGCTCATCGGCCGGGGCCTCGCCTACGGCATCCACATTATGAGGCTCTTCGTCGTGTTTCTCTACTTCCAGGCGACGATGTGCGTGCTCGGCACGTCGAACGGGCCCTTCGCGATCATTTTGGACTGCCTCACGCTCATGTTCATCCTCGAACTGGACAACATGATCCGCTTCGACTCGAAGCACACGCTCTTCGGCCAGGCGGGCCTCGTCTCCGACAAGAAGGTCGTGCTCTCGAAGCAGCTCCGGGAGATCGCGACGGCCGTCCTCGACTCGGGGACCGCGTGGCGCAGCGTCCTGTGGCCGTGACGATTTTCGAGAGATTTCGGCCGGGGAAACGATGAGAAATCGTCACCGTCGTGCTTGGTAGGCGTGGCGCTACTACCAGGCGAATATGGAGAACTTCCTGGTCCTGGCCGTGGCCGTCTTCATGTGCTCCGGCACGGCGCGCATGCAGCGCATCACGTCGCACGGCGAGATCACGATGGCCGACGACCCGGACCACGACGAGATGCAGCGCATCTTCTGGGCCATGCAGTTCCTGCTCGTGGCGTCCATCGTCATCCTCATCGTCGGCACGCGGCGCTTCGCTTTGCGCACGGACCTGCTGACCTGCACCCTGCTCTTCGTCGTCGACTGCGTCTGCGTCGTCCACATCAACTTTTACGCGGGCGCGGCTCCCCCGCGCCTCCTTTTTTCGTCCGTCCCCCCGACACCGTCTCCTAGGCTACTACCTGCTGTCCGAGGTCGGCATCTACGGCGAGACGTCCTTCGCCGCCTTCTCCGGGTACGCGAACTGGAAGCGCGGCATCGCGTTCTACCTCACGAACGACGACGACGGCTGGATCGTCGACGACCAGCTCGTCGACGCGCAGCCCGCGGGCGGCGTGGCCGGCATGGGCAAGGGCGGCCGCTTCTAAATTTTTTGTTTACTTGAAGGTCGCCTTGAGCTTCTCGCCCGCGGCGTTGCGTTTGAAGCCCGCGGCGAGCGACTCGCCCGTCGGCAGCGCGTCGGACAGCTCGAAGGCGTAGCCGACGGCCTTCAGACGCGCCAGGATGTCGCCGCCGCCCGCGAAGGCCGTCAGCGGCGTCAGCCCCGCCCCGGCCGTCGCCGGGTGGCGCAGCGCGGCCATGCCGCAGACGAGCATGCAGTAGGCCGAGCCGACGTAGCCGCACGCGGCGCCGTGGCCGAGGCCCGGCTCGCCGATGATGGAACAGACGGCGACGTCGCCGTCGCGCGACGTCGTCGACGCGTCGGAGCCGTGGGCGATGACGACGTCCGTGAAGGCGCTGCCGTAGGACTGGGCCGCCGTCGGGCCCTCGCCGCGCTTCGGCCTGTGTGGAAACCAACCACTGGTTTGGGTGGTCCTGACCAAACTTGAGAATTCTCTAGCTCGGTCACATCGAAGTCGATTCGGCTGATTTTTGGACGGATCGATCGCTCTCGTCGAGTTCTCGAAGCCAAGTCAAAGAGCTTGCGTCGAAACTGTCGCGTATGCTCACATTGAAGTCGAGTTGAAGATTTGAATTCCACACAGGCTTCGGCAGCCGGCCCTGCTCGACGGCCTTCAGGGTCTGCTGCGGCGGCGCCGTGACGGAGTAGACCATGAACTTCGCGCTGCGCTCGTTCTCGAAGATGGTGTACATCTTCACGCCCGCGGCCCGGGACCCGTTCCATCGCAGCGCGTGCGCCGTGCGCCGGAGGATCCGACAGTCGCCCGTCGCGAGCGGCGCGGGCCCCAAGTGGACGGCGCCGCCCCAGCGGCCGTCCGTCCAGGCCTCCTTGACGTCGGCCGTCCACCCGGCGGGCACGTCGTCGCGGCCCTCGACGGCCGCCTGGTCGAGCGTCAGCCCCCAGGGGTCGTCGAGCTTTTCTCGCTTCTCTTCCAGCTGCATCATCGTCCCGGACGCGACGGACCCGCCGGACATGGCCCCGTTGGCGCAGGTCAGGATCTCCAGGAACGGCGCCTCGCGGCCCGTCCGCTCCTTGAGCCGCGCCACGGCCAGGGACGCGCCGAACTCCGTCGTCAAAATCTCCTGGGGCCCGACCATCTGGACGAGCGAATTTCCTTTTTCCGCGGCCTCCGTCGCGTGCTTCTTGACGACGTCGCCCACGAGCAGGTACTCGCCCGTGAGGTCGAAGTAGACGACCCCGTGGGCCGCGCGCGCGCAGGCGGCGAGGAGCATCCGCGGGCCCTTCTGGCGGTAGGGGCCCGCGGCGGCGAGGACGACCCTGGCCGCGTCGACCGCGCGGTCGAAGCTCGCGGCTTCCTTCTCGTCGACGACGAAGGCCTTGACGCCGTACTGGCGCCCGAGGGCCTCGACCTTGGATCTCGTGCGCCCGGCGATGGCCCACGTCGGCTTCCTGTCGTCCGGCAGCAGCAGCGCGTGCGCGCCGCTCTCCAGCTCCGCGAGGAGCTTCAGCATCCACCCGCCCACGACGCCCGTGGGGCCGACGACGAGGAAGTCGTAGCGCACGAAGGGCTCGACGGTCTTCTCGGACAGCCAGCCCGCCACGGGGCTCGTGATGCGCAGGCGGTTGTCGCCTTTCGCGTTCTTCGACCGCTCCACGGCGTCGACCTTGACGCCGGCGGCGAGCTCCGTGACCTTGTCCGTCGACAGTTCGACGCCCTCGCGCACCATGGCCTTGTTCTTCGTCGTGAACTGCTCGCAGCCATCGATGGGGGTAGGCAGAAGGGCAGCCATCGATGTCGGCTCGAGCTCCAACGCGAGGCGCGCTCGCGCTTTGCTGCCCACACCTTCCGAGACTGCTGCACCCACGCTTCAACTTGTGAGCTCGACGTGCAGTACTGCTGAGCGGCGCGATGGTCCGGCGCGCGCAGCGCGGGGCACCATCGATGCGGCGCGCGACGCGCAGCGCACCGATAGTCGTCCTTTTGCTGGCCGCACGCAGCAGCGCAGTCGTCGTGCGCCGTCGCACGGTCCTCGGCGGCGGCGGCGCCGCATTGCTGCGACCGCAAAGCGCCGCCGCCGCGCCCGTCGCAGATGGCCTCATCCTCGGCACCTGCTGCGACACGGGCGCCGGCGTGCGCGACGTCGTGCGCGGCGCGCTCGACGAGGGCTGGCGCCATTTCGACACGGCGGCGTTCTACGACAACGAGGCGGAGGTCGGCGCCGCGATCCGCGACGCGGGCGCCAGGGACGCGCGCGTGACGAGCAAGGTCTGGTTCGACGACATGACGTACGAGCGCGCCAGGGCGAGCGGCCTGCGGAGCCGCGAGCTGCTGGGCGACGCGCTCGACACGCTCCTGGTGCACTTCCCCGGCTCCACCGACGCCGTGCAGTCGCCCAAGGCCAACGCGCTGCGGCGCGCGGCGACCTGGGAGGCGCTCGTCGACCTCAAGCGAGCGGGCGTCGTGCGGCGGGTCGGCGTGTCGAACTACGTGCCGCGCCACGCGCGCGAGCAGCTGAAGTACAACGGCGTACCGGACGTCGTCCAGCTCGAGTCGCACCCGTTCTGCGCGAACGCGGAGCTCGCGGGCCTCTGGCGCGACGCTGGTGTCACAACCATCCAGGCATACTCGCCCTTCGCGAGCGGCCGCGCGCCGGTGCTCGCGCACCCGAGCGTCCGCGCCGTCGCCGACGCGAAGAAATCGACGCCCGCGGCCGTCGTCCTCGCCTGGCTCCGGGCGCGCGGCCTCGAGCCCGTCGTCAAGGCGTCGTCGCCGGGCCACCGGAGAGACGCGGTCGCGTCGCTCGCGCTCCGCCTCGGCGACGACGACCTCGCCGCGCTCGACGTGCTGGATCGCGGCGCCGGCGGCTCCGTCGCCTTTGACGCGAGGCTCATTGCGTAAGTAAACTTGAAGGCGTAGTCTCGCAGCCCGGGGTGCGGGAGACGATTCCTGTTACCCGAAAGGAGCGAAGCGCGCTGGGTCCCAGGCTGCACGGTAGGCGCCCGCGGGGGACTCGTTTCCGGCGACGAGCGCGGCGAGATGCGCTGCGGTCTGCGTGCTTTCGCGCCAGCCATTGAAGGAGTGGCCTGTGTTGAGGAAAAGCCTCGGAACGCGCGTCGGGCCGACGAGGGGACAGCAGTCGGGCGTCGTCGGCCGGGACCCGGACCAGACGGGCCGGCTCCGCCAGTCGCACCACGCGTCCGCGGCCGGGAGCGCGTGCGCGACGAGGGCCCGCAGCCGACGCTCGAGCCCCGCGTGCGCGTCCGCGGCGTCGCCGACGGCCACGAGCTCACCGTAGCACGTGAAGCGCACCGTGACGTCGTCGACGCGCGTCGCGTAGAGCGAGTAGGGCGCGCAAACAAGCGACGCCTCCACGGCGCCCGGCGCGGTGACGCGCGCCGTGATCGAGTAGCCGCGCAGGGGCTGCACGGGCGCGTAGAGGCCCGCGGACCGGAGGAGCGTCGGAGTCGCGGCGCCCGCGCAGACGATGACGCGGTCCGCCGCGAACGCGCGGCCATCGGAGCAGCGCACGGCCTCGACGGCTCCATCGGCGTCGATCTCGAGCGCGGACGCCGCGGCCCCGAAGACGAAAGTGACTTCGCGGCAGCGGCAGTCGGCCGCCAGTGCGCGCGTGTACGCCGCGCAGTCGCCGCGGCCGTCCTCGGGTGCGCGGCCGCCGCCGCGACGGGACTCGCTGCGGCGCAGGCCTCGCGCGTCGCCCGCGACGCTGTGCCGGGCGCGAAGCGCACCTTCTCCGAGCCGTCGACGCGGATGCCCCGGAAGCCGACCTCGGTTGCGCGCGCGATGAGCGCGCGCTGCGCCGCTTCGTTGCTCGTGCGCCACGCGGCCTCCATCGCCGGCGCCCCCGCCGCGAGGCCCTTGAGCATCGCGAGGCCCCAGGCGTAGAACCACGGGTCGCCGAGCACCGAGGCGTTGACGAACTTGTTCGTCGCGTGGAACGCGTGCCGCGTCTCGAAGGGCGCGTCCGGAGGCGGCGGCGCGGCGCCGGGCGACGGCGACGCCGCGTGGAGCGTCTCGAGGAGAGTAGACACGTCCGCGAGCGACTGCCATTTGCCGCTCACCCCGAGCGTGCACGCGTTGCCGTGGCTTGCGCTGGCGGCGCCGGCGACGCCCGCCGATGCCTCGAGCACGGTCACGCGGAAGCCGCGACGGGAGAGCTCGTCGGCCGTGCTGACGCCGACGACGCCGGCGCCGACGACGACTACGGAGCCGCCCGGCGCCAGCGGCTCGTTCTCCGTCGCATCGTAGTTGCGCTGCAGCAGCGTGAGTCAGGCGGCGGCGGTCGCGGCTGCCCTCACCGCTTCTGCTATCATCATTGCCTACGGTGCCGCTATGTTGCTGCTTGCATGAAGCCGGAGCATCCACGGCTGCGACCCGCCCTGCCGCCAGCCACGCACCGACCCGCGCGCGCCGCAGCCATGGAGACCATCATCCGCAACATGTTCGGCGCGCCAGCCGTGACCGCAGAGGCCGCGCCGGCGGCCGAGACCGCGCCGGCGACCGAGTCGCACAGCGCCGACGCCATGCAGTTGATGCACGGCATGACCAAGAACGTTATGCAGCAACAACGCATTCTCATCCAAGAGGAACGCATCGATGCGCTCGAAAGAATCAGTGCTGCCGGGCAACGCGCCAATCCGGACCTCGCGCGCGCCATCGACGAGGAGAAGACGCGCCGCGAGAGCTCCGCGACCAAGATGCGCGGCGCCGCGTCGCGGCCGGCGCGGCGCTCCCACAGCCGCGCGCCCCTTCGCGGCGACGAGAAGAAGCGCGTCCTCGTCGATGTTGCTCTCATCAGCACCTCCACGTGCGGGTCGTGCAAGAAGCGCCTGGAGTTCGGGACGCCGCGCGTCCGGCGGGAGAAGCTCCGGGGCGACCGCCGCCGGCCGTGGGAGTCGTTCCACGTCGACTGTTACTTCGCGCTGGAGGACTGCCCCATCACGTCCGTCGACGACCTCGAGGGCATCGAGTCGCTCGACGAGCCGACGCGCGCGCGCGTCGCCGCGCTCATCCAGGAGAAGAACGACGGCGCGCCGGCCGCGGCCCCGGCGACCGCGGACGGCGGCGCGGCGGACGCGGCCATGGTCGAGGAGAAGATCGACCGCTTCCGCCGCCTGCTCGCGGGCGCGCGCGTCGCCTTCGACCCGTCGTCGCCGTTGTCCGTCCTCGAGGCCATGTGGCAGTACGTCGACGGCGCGCCGCCGTTGAAGAAGCCGCGCTTCGACGAGAACGTCGACGGCGCGCCGCCGTTGAAGAAGCCGCGCTTCGACGCGGAGGCCGAGGCCCGCGTCGAGTTCGAGCCGCGCGCGCGCGTCGTCCTCTCCGCGGCGTCCGCGGGCGCGCGGCCCCTGGCGCGCGCCAACACCCTCTAGGGCGGCCTCTAAAGCCGGCTCTTCGGATGGGCCTGGGTGCGCGCGGGGGAGGGCCAGCTTCGACGTCGACGGCAAAGTGCAAGGGTCACCTCCGTGGTGCGCCCCCCATCTCGAGCTCGATCGAGAGTGCCCTCGTTTTTGGTGGCGTCGGATCCCCAGCCACTGGCAACTCGGAGACGGCGAGCCCCGCAGGCATCCCGCGTCGATATGCTGCGCGACCGAGGGAGATCTCAGGAACATGCATAAAACCGACATCTGGCTGCGCGGATCGCGAGAGACCTTGTCAGACAAGTCGCTCGTCGTTCGCGCGTCGCTGCGAGACATAGTAGGGGCCGAGAACGGGGTCGCGGAAGGTTCGCGCCGAAGCGGCCCCGTCGTTGTCGGGCTGAGAGTCGCGCGCGGACGCGCCAGTGCGTCCGGGAGGTCGCCATGATGGTGCGAGCCCAGCGTCGCATCGATTTCAAACCTCTGGGACCCGAAGATGTCGACCGCGCGCGCCGAAGACGGGCCGTCGGAGCGCGCCGGCGGGCGCCGGCCGCGCCGCGGTTGTGGGCGCTGGTGGCGGGCTGGCCGTCGTCGAAGGCGTAGACCACATGTGACGAGCGGGCCAAGGCGTCGGAGTTGCCCCGGGTTGCGAAATCGGCGTGGAAAAGCTGGTTTCGTCCCGAGACGGCCTCGAAGAGCCCCCAAAACGAATGGTTTGGGTGCCAGACGGAGCGTTTCGCGTCAACCGATCACCGCCGCTGTGTTCCGCCGGGAGGTCCGACATCATGGAGCTCGTGGACGGCGACCTGGGAGATCGGCGACGACCGGAGCGCGTCCGACGCGCGCCGAGGCCCGCCCTCCGCGGGACCGCGCGCGCCTCCTAGCGGAGGTGTCCGGGCCTCGCCGGGATCCTTGCGGCCCGCGACCCGCCGACGGGAGGTAGTAATCGCAGCGGGCGGGTGGCGGAAGACCGGTCGCGTCCGGCCGGACGTGGGCGCTGGCTCCGGCGACGGACAGGAGGTACGCCTTACGACGCGTCTGGCAGCTGAGGGCAGCGCCTTGCCCGTATTACTCGCCGCGGGCGGCAGCCCGCTAGTCCTTGGACGGGGCGCTGCAAATCGTCGGCATTACCGGGTGAACGCAATCCATCGACACTTCACGGCAAACAATGTGTAAATCACAAACGAGGGATCTCGCCTCGAGACCAGCACACATTACATGGCTGTGGTAAAAACAAGCACGTCGGCGTCGGCGTGCCGTGCCGCGGCGTCGACCGCGCGAACTGGCCGGTCATCGACGAGGACGGCGACGTCTTCTTCACGAACAACCGGCTCGTGAGCCGCGACTCGGCGCGGGCGCGCTGGTCCACGGCGCTCGAGCTCGACCTGCACGATTTTCTGCGCGAGGCGCAGGGCCTCCGCGCGGTGCACCAGCCGTCGGGCCTGTTCGTCGACCTGCTCTGCGGCCGCGCCGTCCGCGGCGGCACCGACGGCCTCGCGCGCCTCGAGGCGCGCGCGGCCTTGGCCGCGAACAAGTCGGCGTCGGAGGCGGCGTCGACGGCGTCGGAGCGGCGCCTCGACGCGTCCGGCGGCGCGCCGCCGCCGTCGGAGCGCGCGACCGCCGAGGGCTCCGAGGACGCGCCCGCGGCCGAGGGCTCCGAGGACGCGACGGCGGCCGAGGGCTCCGAGGACGCGACGGCGGCCGAGCTTCAGGGCTGGAAGACCCTCCTCGACGAGGGCCTCATCGACGACATCGACTACGCGGCGAAGGCGGCCGAGATCCGGGACCGCGACGGCGCGACCGACGTCGCGTCCGGGGACGTCGAGCCCATGGCGCTCGCGAGCGACGCCGACGACGCCGCGGCGACGGGCGACGCCGCGGCGCGCGAGTCGTCCCTCCACGCGCTGCTCGGCCAGGAGGTGCGCAAGAAGCTGCACCACGTCCGCGTCCGCCTCGCGGGGACGTTCCTCGCGCTCCTCGCGGCGTTCTACGCCGACGAGGCCTACCGCGAGCGCTTCGAGGCGCTCTCCCGGCCGGTCGCCGGCGCGGGCTCGGTCCGTGGCCGCGGACGGGCTGTGTAGTCGTGGCCGCCGCGGCATGTAGGTTTAAAGGCGCGGACCAGCGAGGGGGCGCTTCAGGGCGCGGGGGGCGGGGGGCTTGGGACTTGGGTGCGTCGGGCGCGGTGCCCTAGAGGTTCACGCCGCCACGGGAGGCGTGCTGGGCGTGGACGTGGACCGGGGCCGGGACCGGGGCGGGGGGCGGGACCGGGACGGGGGCGGGGCCGTGGTTGTGGCCGTTGTGCTGCGGCGCCACGGCCTGGACGGCGAGGCCGCCCATCGCGTTAGCCATGTGCACGTCGTTCGCCGCGTTCTGGTAGGCGGCGGCCATGTTGGCGACCTGCGGGCCGAGGTTCGCGAGATTGGGCGGGGCCGGGCCCGGGGCGGGGGGCGGGCCCGGGGGCCCGCCGCCGCCGCCGCCATTCTGGGAGACGAAGTAGAGGGCCAGGCCCGCGCAGGCCCCGAAGCCGAGGAGGAGGAACGCGGAGACCGCGGCCGCGATGACGCCCGTGACGACGAGCGTGGTCGTCGAGGGCGACTGGACGTGGTGCGCCTCGAAGGACGCGACGGGCGCCGCGCGGACCGAGTCGACGGACGCGCGCACCTCCTCCTGGGTGGCGCCCCCGAGGGCGGCCTGGCGGCCGTCGGCGGCGAGGTCGGCGGCGGCGGCGAGGGCGAGGGCGGCGAGGGCGAGGGCGGGCTTGAGGCACTGCATCGTGGCCTGCGGGGGGCGCGCGGTGGACGCGGGCGCGCGCGGGCCTGCCCCGGGCCCCGAAGACGCGACGTTCGACGCGGGGCGCGCGCTGGGGCTGGCGGAGTGAAGGCTCGATAAGGCTCGACGATCTCGACGTCCTGCCTTCGCGAGGGCAGCCCGCTTGATGCGTATCCAGCTTCTTCAACACTTCAACTCCGTTTTCAACCACTGAGCGAAGCTCGGGATCTTCATCGACGACGGGGCCGCGGGGCTCGGCGCGGGTTCCTCGCGTCCGGGTCGTCGCGGCATTTCTATGTTCAGTAGTTCGTGCGCGGCGAACGCGCGCGCGCGGGGGTGCACAGGAGCAGGCGGGGGAGACTTGAGGGAAGGGTGGTTGTTCGCGGCGTACTACTCGTGCCCGAGCAGGAACCGGGACTGGACGGGCGCTTCATCCGCCGCCCGTCGACGACGACGACGGGGCGCGCTCGAGGACGGGCCGCTCGATCGCCGGCGCCGCGGCGGCCTCGAGCTGCGCCTGGGCCGCGTCGCCGCCGAAGAACCGCGGCGGCGGGGGGGACTTGGACTTCTTGCGCTGGCGCGGCGTGGAGCCGCTGCTGGAGCGGTCCCGCTTGAGCACCGCGGGCGCGGCGACGGGCGGCGCGTCGGCGACGGCGACGCGGGCCGGCGCGAGGCCGTGCGCGACGTCGAGCTCCGCGGGCGCCGGCTCCGGCGGCGCGGTCGTCGTCGGCGTGTTCGCGGCGCTCGCGTCGCGCCTGCGAAGCGTGATGCTCTGGAGCAGCTGCGGCTCGCCGCGCCGGAAGCACTCGTGCTCGTAGGTGCCGACCCAGCGGCCCAGCTTGATGCACTTGAACCCGTAGAGGTTCAGCATGCGCGTGAAGGACGCCCACTTGTTGTGGGAGAAGTACGCGGGCAGCACCTCCTCGCAGAACCGCGTGCGGTCCCGGACGATGAACGCGCGGCCGTCCTCGCACCAGCTCACGATGGCCTCGTCCTCGGGCACGTCGCTGTAGCGGTTGACGAAGTCGGAGACCTTCTCCGGGAAACTGGCCGTGGCCACGAACTCGGGCGACGGCGCGGCGACGGCCGCGGGCCGCGCCGGCGCCGCCGCGGGCCGCGCCGGCGACCGGTCCATGGGGTCGACGATGGGCGCCTCGCGGTTCACGCCCGGCGCCGCGCGCGACGCCGGCGGCGGCGCGGCCGCGAAGGCGAGCGCGGCGCCCAGAGCCACCGGCGGTGGCGGCGCGTAGCAGCCGTGGGGCGGCGGCGCCGCGCCGTAGTCCGCGGGCTGCGCCGGCGGGGGCGCGCGCGCGGGCGCGCGCGACCGGCGCCGCGTCTTGCTCCGCTTCTTCGACGACGGCGCGACGTGGCCGCTCGAGCGCCGCGCGAGGAAGGTCTGGGCGATGTCGCGCCACTTGACGACGGTCTCGCGCGCGTCGCGCGCCCGTTTGGCCTCCGTGATGAGGCGCACCAGCCGGTCGTCCTTGACGTCGACCTTGGCGAGCGCCTCGACGGTGGCGATGCCGTTGGCCATGAGGCGGCTGATCTTCGCGGCGCCGAGGGACTGGAGCTTGTCGAGGCACGTCCCACCCGCGCCGCCGCGGTCGTAGGAGTGCGGCACCTGGGGCAGGTCGTAGGGCGCGGGCCGCGCGGGCGTCGGCGGCTCGTAGGGCTGCGCGAACGGCGACAACCGCGACATGGACGCGGGCTGGCCGTGGAAGCCGTAGCCGTCGAAGCCGTGGAGGCCGTGGGAGCCGTAGGTCAGCGCGGCCGCGGGTGGCGGCGCGTCGGGGAGCTGCGGCGCGGCGGGGAACGCGAGCGCGGCCGCGAGGCCCGGCTCGGGCGGCGGCGGCGGCGCGACCGCGTGCGTCTCCGCGGCGACGCCGCGCTCCGCGTCGTCGAGCTTCACCTCGTCGCCGACGTCCGAGGCGGCGATGGGCGGCGCCGCGTAGTAGCCGTGCGGCGGCGGCGCCGCGCCGTAGAGCGGCGCCACGCCGTAGAGCGGCGCCGCGTAGTAGCCGCGCGGCGGCGGCGCCGCGCCGTAGAGTGGCGCCGCGCCGTAGCCGTGCGGCGCGCCCCCGGAGAGAGCGGCGCGCGTAGTAGCCGTGCGTGCGCGCCGGCCGCGCGCGGCGTCCGCGGCGTCGAGCGCGCCGGCCGTGGCGAGCTCCCGCTCGAAGTCGCGCGGGCCGCCGTCGGCGCCCGTGAGGACGTCGCCGAGGTCGGCGCGCAGGAACGCGTCGCTGTCGGACGCCGCGCGCCAGGCGCTCAGGCGCCTTTTAACGGACTTCAGCGGCCGCGTCTGGACCAGCGCGTGGACCTGGGGCCCCGTCGCGTCCCTGCCGAAGAGCTCGACGGCGTCGAAGAAGCGGAGCTTCTCGACGCGCGTGTACCCCGCGGCGCGGCCGCGCGGCGCCGCCGGCGGCGCGTCGCTCATGGGCTCGTCGCCGTCGCCCGCCGCCGGCGGCGCGGCGGACGCGTCGCCGTCGCGGTAGGCCACGAGGTCGGCGTGGTAAAAACCGGCGAGGGCGGGCGCGCGCTCCTCGGCCGCGGCGACGGCGTCGGCGGGCGAGAGGCCCAGCGCGGCGCCGTGCGCGGCGTCGAGCGCGGCGGCCGTGGCGAGCTCCCGCTCGAAGTCGCGCGAGCCGCCGTCGGCGCCCGTGAGGACGTCGCCGAGGTCGGCGCGCAGGAACGCGTCGCTTTCGGACGCCGCGCGCCAGGCGCTCAGGCGCCTTTTAACGGACCGCAGCGGCCGCGTCTGGACCAGCGCGTGGACCTGGGGCCCCGTCGCGTCCCTGCCGAAGAGTTCGACGGCGTCGAAGAAGCGGAGCTTCTCGACGCGCGTGAAATGCGCGCCCTTGCTCGACGCCGGCGGCGCGTCGCTCATGGGCTCGTCGCCGTCGCCCGCCGCCGGCGGCGCGGCGGACGCGTCGCCGTCGCGGTAGGCGACGAGCTCGGCGTGGTAAAAACCGGCGAGGGCGGGCGCGCGCTCCTTGGCCGCGTCGACGGCGTCGGCGCGCGTGACGGCCGGCCGCGCGGCGACGGCGTCGGCGGGCGAGACGGTCGGCCGCGCGGCGCCGCCGCGCGACGCGCGCCGGCCGTCCGCGGCGTCGAGCGCGCCGGCCGTGGCGAGCTCCCGCTCGAAGTCGCGCGGGCCGCCGACGGCGCCCGTGAGGACGTCGCCGAGGTCGGCGCGCAGGAACGCGTCGCTGTCGGCCGCCGCGCGCCAGCGGCGCAGGCGCCCTTGAACGAACTCCAGCGCCCGCGTCTGGACCAGCGCGTGGACCTGGGGCCCCGTCGCGTCCCTGCCGAAGAGCTCGACGGCGTCGAAGAAGCGGAGCTTCTCGACGCGCGCCCAGTAACGCGTCGCGCCGTTGCTCGCCGCCGGCGGCGCGTCGCTCATGGGCTCGTCGCCGTCGCCCGCCGCCGACGCCGCGACGGACGCGTCGCCGTCGCGGTAGGCGACGAGCTCGGCGTGGTAAAAATCGGCGAGCGCGGGCGCGCGCCCCATGGCCGCGGCGACGGCGTCGGCGCGCGTGACGTCCGGCCGCGCGAGCTTGGCCTGCAGTTTCGACCAAACCGGTTGTCCCCCGAGGAAACGCGCGGAGTGTCCCGCGAATTGATGCCGCGCCTCGTCGCACTTCGGCGCGTCGACCAGCCCAGCGAACGCGTCGATGGCGTGAAACTTTTGGTGCTTGTCGCACCATTTGAAGTCGGTCAAGGTGGCCTTGTGGTGCCAGACCTTGCCCTGGCACTCCTGGCACACGTCGGCCCGGGGTATAAATCCCCCGCACATACAACACCGGCTGGGGACGACGACGAAGTTCGCCGCGTCGTCGATGTCGTAGTCGACGCGGTAGTCGATGTCGTAGTCGACGCGGTAGTCGATGCGCGCGTCCGGCGTCGCCGCGTTGGCCTCGGGCGGCCAGACCCGGTAGCTGGTCGAGTCGATCTCGTTGAGCACGGCCTCGTTGGCGTCGCGCACGAACGTCGCGTGGTAGTAGGCCAAAGCGCCGCGCGACTGCATTCGGGCTAAAGTTTGGCCCGTCTGGAGCCGCGCGGGGCGGAACTGGTGCGCGATGAGCAGGCCGTGGAAGTACGTGAACTTGGACCGGGATCCGTTGTGAACCACCGTCCAGTCCTTGCAGAAAGACTGGAGGTCACGCACGACGAAGATGCGGCCGTCCGCGGACCAGGCCGCGACGTCGTGGGACGCGTTGTCGATCATGGCCTTGAGGACGCGCGGGAAGGGCGCAGCGCGGACACCGAGAGCCGCGCCGCACGTGCCGTAGCAGTTGTGCTTCAAAATGCGGTCGTCGCGTACGCTGCAGTACTTGCCGCATAAGTTGCAGGCGCGATAGCTCGCTTTGGACGCATTGGAATACCAACGGTACTCGACCGCGCTGGGCGTCCGACCGGTGCCGAGCCGCTCCGCGACGGCGCTCCAGCTCGCGCTGCCGAGCTCGGCGACGAGGTTCTTCAGGAGCGACTCCTCCTCGGTAGACCACCGCTGCTCGGCGTAGCAGGAGAGCTGCGCCGGCCCCGGCTCGACGACCGGCTCCGGCTCGACGACCGGCTTCGGCCCGACGACGGATTCAGGCGCCGGCTCCGGCTCGGCGAGCGGCGACGACGAGGGAGCCGCGGGGCGCCGCCGCGAGCTCCGGCGGGGCGGGTCGCTCGGGGCCGCCGGCGACGTCGAGCCCACGAGGCGTCGCTGGCCGGCGCGCGCGACGGTCGACCCCCGCGGCGCGGTCGCCGCGGGCGTGGACGCCAACCCCAAGGCAACGAGAGCCTCATGGTTCTGCTGGATGCGCTGCGTGCCTGCGCGGGGCGGCGGTCCGGGCGCGGTCGCGGGAGCGAGGGGCGCCGACGCGCCACGTCCGTCCGCGTAGGAGTTGTCGGCGGAGCTCGCCCGCCGCCTCGCCGCCTCCGCGCGGCACTCCGACTGGGAGCACGTCCAACCGGGCGCGCTGCCGAACTTGCGGTACTTGAGCAGCTCGCCGCAGAAGCACGGTACCTACGCACGCCTTCGGTGTCCGCGGCAATAACCCTCGCGGACGCGGGCGTCGAGACGAGATCGCCGCCGTTCAGTCTCGCGAGGGACGGGATGTCCTCGCAGTACCGGCAGCGCTCGAAGTCCGCCTTCGTGTGTTTGCACGGCGCGACGCCGCCCTCGGGCCGCCAGCGCGCCACGAAGCCGTCGTCGACGTGCTGGAGCACGCCGCGGCGCATGACCGCGTCCACCAGCTCGGTCGCCGGCGGGCCGTAGTCGATCTGGCACGCGTCGCCGCCGGGCCGGAGCCAGACGCGCGCGGGCCGCCAGACGTTCCGCATCTCCGCCGTCTCGTCGTCCTGGATCTCGTGGACCACCTCGATCAACATCGACGGCTCCGCCGCGGCCGACGGCGCCGCGCCGTCTGCGGGCGCGACGTCCGCGACCGCGACCGCCGGCGGCGTCGCGGGCGCCGCGCTCGCCGCGCGCCGGCGCCGGCGCGACGGGCCCTGGCCCAAATCCGCGACAACGACCGAAGCCTCGCGGCTCGCGCCGGCCAGGTCCACGTTGCGGCGGAGGAGGTCGCTCTCCCTCTCGTCTAAAACCGCGCGCTGCGCGTCCAGCGCCGCCGTCAGGACGAGGGAGTGATCCAACTCAGAGGCCGTCCCGGTGGTGATGGCCCGGTCGAGGACCGTCGTCGCCACCACATGGCTCAGCTGCGCGACACTTTCCGGCTGCGCCGGCCCCGGGCCGGGGGTGCCGAAAGTCGCACCGCTGAGGCCTTCGAGCATCGCGCGCTCCCGCACGTCGAGCGCACGCCTCTCGTGGGCGATGCGGTCGTTTTCCACGAGTGCTTGCTGAACTTCGGGGTGCACGGGCGTCATGCCGTGCGCCACTTCAGGCCGCCGAGACCGAGTCTGTTGGCGCGGAGCTCACGAGCCTGCTCACATGCCGGCGCATGTGCAACATGACTGCACTGAGCCGTTGTTGTATCTAGAAGCATGCGAATGGAATGCGAGTTCGCGTGTCTGCGACTTCGATGCCTGGACTGAGCACGCCTTCTAGCTAGAGGGCGCACACGTTTGCGCACGCCTTCGCAGCGCATCGACGCGCAGGAAGTCAGCTGCGTCGCGAAATCAGCCCGTGCGGCTCGGCAGTGCAGGACTACGATGGCAGCCCGTTGTTGCTTGTTCGTTCTCGCGATCGCATCGACGGTGTCCTGCGGTTACGTTCGACGCGGCGCGACGCTCAGAGTCGGCTACCAGGGCTTCGACGCGGCGTCCCACTACTCATTTGAGAACGGCCGCTACGTCGGCGCCTACCCGGAGGTCACGTCGCTCCTGGCGCGGGAGCTCGGCGTCGTCACGGAGGACGTCACGCTCGGGTTCAACGACGACGACGCCATCCTGGACAGCTGGATGGAGCCGCTGAGGAATGGTGACATCGACTTCACGCTCCAGGGCACGCCGTTCTACGACGGCTTCTTCTACAGCTCGCCCGAGCGATCACGCAGCGAGGGCTCGTGAAGGTGAGCCACCGCGACGCGGGCCTCTGGTCCATCTTCGCGCCCTTCCACTGGAAGCTCTGGCTGGCCATCTGCGGGGCCGTCGTGCTCGGCACCGTCGTCATGGGCGCCATCGCCTACCTGAACGAGGAGTGGGCCGGGCCGCGGCGCGACCCGCTCGAGTTCGGGACCATGCTCTACCACTCCATCACGCTCCTGCTCGGCGGCGACGATCTGGGCGGCGTCATGGCGACGGACTCCGGCGGCGCGCGACTGCACCGGCTCGGGCTCCTGTTCCTGGCGCTCGTGACGACGGCGACGTTCACGGCGAACCTGGCGGCCTTCCTCACGAATCCCGAGCGCGTCGTCCACGGGCCGAGGAGCCTCGAGGAACTCGGCCAGTCCACGGCGTGCCTGACCTACGACTTCATGGCCCCGTACCTGGAGAACCTCGTCGGGGGCGTCGTCCTGCCGCCGGACGGCCTCTTCGCGAACGAGGATTACACGGGGCGGAGCGCCTGGTGCATCGACCGCGTCAAGTCCGAGGACGTCGACGTGTTCATCACGTCCGAGGCGAACGTCCACGCGCTCGAGGACTGCGCCCGCCTGGCGGTCGCGAGCAACGTCGAGATCATGCCGAGCCTCTTCTACGCGGTCACGCGGGACATGCACTTGATGGTTAACCTGTCCTACGCGATGGAGGAGCTGCGGATCAACCGCGACTACTACGAGGCCCTGAATCGGCACTACAGGACCTACGACGCCTGCGACGACGCGAGCGCGGACGCCGACGAGTCGGCGCAGATCTCCGTGGGCTCCTTCGCGAGCGTTTTCCTTCTCTACTTCGCGAACGCGGCCCTCTCCGTCGCGATCGCCGCCTCCGAGGCGCGGCGCCGCGGCCGCGGGGCCGCGGCGAAGGAGGAGCCCGCCGCCGAGCCCGCCGCGGAGGCGACGGCGCGGCCGACGATGGCGGACCTGTACCGGAAGCGGCGCGCGTCCACGGAGAAGCGGCGGTCGGCCGTCGGCCGGGGCCGCGCGGCGGCCGCCGGCCGCGGCGCGAAGGCGCTCGTCCGCGACGCGCCGACAGTGGAGCTCGTCTAATCCTTCTTACCGGCCAGCACCTTGTGGCTCTTGAAGAAGACGCCGTCGACGAGCGCGGCGAGGGAGAAGCAGCCCCCGACGATGGCGCAGATGGACACGGCGAACTCGGGCAGGGACTTGCGCTGCTTCGCGACCTCGATGGTCACGGGGTAGAAGTCGTAGTAGAAGTAGACGCCCGGCGTCGCGGACGGGTCCGCGAGGAGCCGCCGCTCGGGGATGAAGTTCTCCGCGAGACTGTACTGGTTCGTCATCGTGTACCCGAAGGCGCCGTGGATGACCGTGGGGATGACCTTGAGCACGTAGTGCTGCTGGCCGCTCTCCGTCGGCGAGTTGACGACGCCGTCGAGGGGCGCCGCCGTGTCCCCGGTCTTCTTCCCGAAGGACAGCGCGTGGACCTTGTGCGTGATGTTCACGTGCCGGTGCTTCTCCATCATGTTGATCTGGCCCACGAGCATGGCCAGCGGGCCCGGCAGCCCGACGGGCCGCCCGCCGCCGGGGCCGTCGGCGTCGGGCGACAGGCCCACGTGGAAGTTCGCCGACACCTTGCCCACGGACAGGCGCCCGTCGAGCGTGCACGCCGCCTCCGGGTCGGCCTCGGGCGCCCACGCGCCGAGCTCGGACGGCGTCGGCGGCCTGAACTCGACGCGGTTGATGGCCTCCTTCAGGCCCCGCGCGGACTCGACGGAGATCTCGAGGTCGTCGCACTCGACGTGCGCGAACGTCATGTGCACGTCGATGGGCAGCCGGTCCGGCACCTTGAACGACCGCGAGCCCCACGCGCTGTCGCCGTCGTCGACGCCGAGGTGGTGGATCGTCACGGGCGCGAAGAAGGCGCTCAGCTCGAAGAAGAGGAGCAGCGCGATCGACGCGACGGCGCAAAAGGTCACGAGCGCGCCGCAGACCGTGCGCTCCTGCACGCCCTCGACGGCGCGCGCCAGCAGGTGCGCCGGCGCCATCGCTGACGTCGGCTGCGGTCGACGAGCGTCGAGCGGTCGCGCGCGCGCGTGGATGCCGTCGAGGACGAGCTCAGCGGTCGCGCGTGGGACGCCGCCGACGGCCGCGTCGCCGGCCTTCGAGACGATTTGTGGCAGAGGTCAAGAGCCGCCCGGGATAAATCCCGCGGTACCTCATGCCGGATTCTTCGATCGCGGGCCCGGCACCCACCCACCCACCTCCTGGCCAATCAGGGACCTCCGTTTCGTTAGTTGCCTTCAAGTTGCCGCTCGCAAAATCGCCACAACGCGCGCGCGATTCCGCGCGCGCGCTCTCTCGTGTCGCGGAGCTGCGCGGTCCAATCTCCGCTTTGCGATGAGAACGGGCACCCGCGCCGCTCGACTCGCCGCGGCGAGAAGCGGCGCTTGCCCAGAGACGACGATAGCGGCGTGAAGACACGTCGCCGAGGCGCCGCGCGACCGTCAGCCGCGGCACCGCGGGTCATGACCGCGCGCGCGCGCGCGCGTTACAAGTACCCATCAGTACACTGTAGATTTTCCAAACCAGGCCTCCGGACCCACCCACCCACCTCGCCATGAGGTTCGAATCTTTTGTCCGTGGGTGGCTCGTGCAGAGGTCGATGAATCGCTGAACGACAGAGCATCTCTGCCTTCTCGCCGCCGGCGAGGTGTCTGCACCTTCTGAGCGGAGCATGGGCTCCAGCGACCTGCCGATCGCCCACTTCTCCGGCGCGGCCATCGCCGCGCTCTTGAATTTCCCGCTCTGGCGCTACGCGACGATGGCCCAGGCCAAGTACGAGGTCGCCGGCGTCGGCCGCGCGACCTGGGGCGCGCTCTTGGGCCCGCCGTACCGGGGCGTCGCGGGCATCGTCGGCGGCATGACCGTCGCGCGCGGCGGCATCTTCCTGCTGAGCGACGTGGGCACGAAGGCGCTCCGGCGCCGCGGCGTCGAGGGCCCGGCCGCGGTCGTGCTGCCGCCGCTCGCGGCGTCCGCGGTCGTCCAGGTGCTGAAACAGCCCATCGTCCGAGGTGGGGTCATGCTCCAGAATCCCACGAACCCGAGCGGCACGCTCCTGGGCACGCTGCGCCTGCTCGCGGCGACGCGCGGGCCCCGGAGCCTCTGGCACGGCACGTCCGCCGGCCTTTTGAAGACGGCGCCCAAGTACTGCGTCGCCATCGCCGCCAAGGACGCCCTCGAGGCGCGCCTGCCCCGCGCGGCGACGCCGGGCGACGAGCTGCTGCGCGACGCCGCGAAGGCGGCCGCCGCGGCCGTCTGCGGCGCGGTGCTGACGAACCCGCTGGACGTGCTCCGCAACGAGATGTTCAAGACGGACCTGGGCTTCTTCGACGCGCTCGCGTACCTGAACCGCGAGCACCCACACTGGATCTTCCGCGGCGCGAAGCAGAACCTCGTCGCCGTCGCCGCGCCCGTCGGCGCGACCATCTTCTTCACGGACCAGCTCAAGCGAATACTCGCGAGCCGGTAACAGTCTCGCGGCGCGCGGACGAAGACCGGGGTGGCTGTTTACGGTGATTCGAGGGTTCGGTGAATTTTCGGGTGAATTGTCGAATGGCGAATTGCGGGGTTTTTGGAGGGGGATTTCAGGCGTCGTCGCGGTGCTCCTCCTCCTTCTCCTCGCGGACGACGTCCGCGCCCGGCGACACGGGCGCGGAGGTTCGCCGGAGGCTCGGCAGGCGCCGCGGCGCGCCGAAGGTGGCGTTCTTCGGCGACTTCGTCGTCGCGAGGACGACGTCGCCCGCGACGCGCGCCTGGCGCATGGACTCCTTGCGTATGCGCCGCCAGGACGCCTCCCGGATGACCTCGCCCGCGTGGCCCGCGCGCGTGTCCTTCTTCGTCGTGTCCATGAGGCCGACCAACAGGTCGTGCTTCGACCAGAGCGACTCGACGTCCTTCTTCTGCGGGTTGAGGATGAGCTGGCCCTCGACGATCTTCTGGTAGCCCAGCAACAACACGTGCTTGTCCATGGCGACGCGGGCCAGCGCCGCGAAGGACGTCCGGCCCGGGTCGCCGGTCACGCCGTCGAGCTTCGACGCGGGGAAGACCATGGGGCTGTGGCCGTCGTCGGTGAGCAGCTCGTCCAAGATCGCCTTGACCTCGCGGCGCATGGCGACCATGGCTAAAATCTTCGCGCAGATGCCGTGCGACAGCACGTACTCGGCCTGCGCGGCGATGGAGCTGTTGACGCGCGCGACGGCCGACGTCCGCGAGTCCAAAATCTCGCAGATGATGGAGCAGTCGTCGACGTCGTCGAGGCTCCTGCGGCTGCCGTCGTCCTCGATGGACAGCAGCTTCCGCTCGCTCAGCGACTTGCGCTGCGCGAGCGTGAAGTTCGCGCGGACGGCCTGCTTCTCCTGGCGGATCTGCATCGACTCCTGGCGCGCGAGCGTGCCCGGCCGCGAGGGCGTCGCCGGCGTCGCCGGCGAGACGACCGCGGCGTCGTCCCGCTCCTTGCAGCTCTGGCGGATGTCGCGGATGAGCAGCAGCGTCGCCAAATTCTGCGCGTCGCTCTCGAGCGGCGACGCCTCGTGGCGCTCGTCCGCTAAAATCAGCACGCTGTCCATCTCCCGGAGGGGCACGACCTCCAGATCCCGCTTCACGGTCGTGCGGCCCACGTGGTGGTGGAGCGTGATGGACCGCAGCTTGTCCTCGTCGAAGCCCTCGACGTGGAAGACGTCGCGGCGCTCCTCCAAACTGATGTCGGACATGATGTGGACCTCGGAGCCGTCCTTGACGGCCTCGTCCAGCATCAACAACATGTCGTCGACGTCGCGGCGCCAGTTGCACAAGAGCACGCGCTCGCGCATGGACTTCTTCGACTCCTCGCCCGCGAACTGGAACCCCTGGGGCTCCGCGGGCTCCGCGCTACCAAGGGCGGGCGCGTACGTGTCGTCGTCGGCGGCGAGGACGATGACCTCGTCGCCCTCGGAGACGCGGAAGTCCCGCGGCGGGTTCAGCATGATGCCGTGGGGCTTGAGCATGGGGCAGCGCACGTCGACGTGGAAGAAGTGGAACTCCTCGACGAGCGTCATGCGCGCGACGCGCCGGTCCGCGACCTTGAGGCCGATGGGCACGGCCGTCGGGAACGACGCGTAGATCTCCCCAAAGGTCCGGCCCACGAGCTGGGGCCACTCCTTGAGGTAGAACTCGGAGCCCTCGAAGCCGAAGATGTGATCGTAGACCAACCCGAGCCCCGGGTGCCGCGACGTCGTCAGCAGGAGCCGCGAGCAGATGTCGTGGCTGACGACGCACTCGACGGCGGGCCCGCCCGTGACCTGGACGATGTGGCGGTTGTCGATGTCCTGGAGCTCCGCGATGATGTGCGTCGTGTGGTCCGCGTCGCCCCGTAGAGCGGTCAGCGCGAGCACCGTCCGCAGCACGGAGCAGTCCGCGCGGTCCGCGGACGTGCCCGTGGGCGAGAGGATGATGACGGCCTTGGCGTCCTGCACCGACACGCGCTGGAGGTCCGCGAGGCTCTGCGGGTTGCCCCGCCTTACGGCGATCTTCGACCCCCTCAACGCCTTCTCCGGGATCGTGTCGCGGATGACGCGGTGCACGTCGTCGGAATCGTCGTCCTCGCCCGCCAGGACCACGATGAGCCCGCCGCCGTCGCTCTCGAGCGCGAGCGCGAGCTGCTCGAGCACCTCCAGGCATTTGTGCGTGAAGCCGATGACGATGAGGTGGTCGTCCTCGACGAGCGGGCTCAGGCCCCGCGTCGCCCGGTTCATCATGGCGCTGATGGCCTCGACGAGGAAGCCCATGAGCACGGACAGGTAGATGACGCCGACGATCGCGACGATGGCGCCGAAGGCCCGTAAAAAGTAGCTCGCGAGCTTCGTACTCGCGCCCTCCTGGAACCCAAAGTCCGCGACGTTCCCCGGGTCCGCCAGGGCGCAGAAGACCATCCAGTAGCTCGAGCTCCGCCAGCGCACGGGCGACTCGCGCGACACGCGCTTCCGGATGAAGCCGCGCGCCATGAGCAGCCAGAGCTCCGAGAGCACCGTGATGATGAGGCCGCCGGAGACGACGAAGAGGCCGAACTTGGCCTTCATGGGGCCCGTCGCCGACGACTCGAGCCAGTACTCGAGCAGGCGGCGGATCTGGCGCGGGTGGTACCAGACCCAGTCCACGCGGTGCCGCAGGTGGCGCGCCTCGCTCTCGATGCCCTTCTCCAGGTCGACAAGCTCCTGGTGCGACTCCTCGTAGAAGGCCTTCATGGACCCGCGGCCCCGCTTGAACGTGCTCTCCATCGTCGAACCCCCCTCGGGAACTCCTAGCTGCCCCGGTCCATCGAAGATAGCGGCCGTACTATTGTCGCGTTCTTGAAGTACAACTTGTTATTGTCGAAGACCTTGAGGACATGTTGAGGCGGGTCGGGCTGGACCAGTACGAAACCAGGGAGGCGCGTCGAGCTGAGCAGCGCCTCCACGCTCGTTCGCGCCGGGCGCGAGCCGAGCGGCACTTTCCGCCGCAGGTTCGCGCCGTCCGTGTCGCCATGGCATCGACCCAGGCCTGCGTGGGCTTCATCGACATGGACTGCTTCTACGTCGCCGTGGAGCGCGCGCGCGACCCGTCGCTCGACGGTTTGCCCGTCGCCGTGTGCCAGTACGAGTCCTGGCAGAAGGACACGAAGACGCTCACGGCGTCCGACGACCGGCGCGTCACGTCCGGCGGCTCGGGCCTCATCGCCGTGAGCTACGAGGCGCGCGCGGCCGGCGTCAAGCGCCAGATGCAGGCGGGCCAGGCGCGCAAGGCGTGCCCGCGGTTGGTCACGGTGCAGGTGCCCACGGAGCACGGCAAGGCGAACATGAGCATCTACAAGGAGGCGGGCCAGCGGGTCTGCGACATCCTGGCGACCTTCGCCGATCGCGTGGAGAAGCGATCCGTCGACGAGGTCGCCGTCGACGTCACGGGCGCCGCGCGGAGGCTGCTCGAGACGACGCCCTTCGACGACATTTTGCGCGAGGCGCTCCAGAAGGGCTCGCACCTCGCGGACTCGGCTGCGTCGCTGGAGATGGCGCGGGAGACGCACGCGTCGACGCGCGCGGGCTCGTCGAAGCAGCGCGAGCGGTCCGCCGGCGGCGGGCCGGACCCGCGCGACAGCTACGACGCTAACGAACAAACGATGCTCGCCGGCGCGGTCGTCGTGGCGCGCGCGCGCGCGGCGGTGACGAAGCAGCTCGGCTTCACGTGCAGCGGCGGCGTCGCGCCGAACAAGCAGTTGGCGAAGCTCGGCTGCGGGTTGCACAAGCCGAACCAGCAGACCGTCGTGCTGCGGCGCCACGTCGCGGGGTTGTTGCGGGACCTGCCGCTGGACCGGCTCGCGGGCCTCGGCGGCGAGTTCGGCAAGCGGCTCAAGGACGAGCTCCGAGTGGAGACCGCCGGCGACCTCGCGGCGAAGGAGCCGCGGGACCTCGTGCGCGCGGGCGTCTGCGAGGACGAGGGCGACGCGATCCGCGTCGTGCGGATGGCGCGCGGCGAGCACGACGACCCCGTCAAGGACCAGGCGACCTACAAGTCCTTCGCCGCGTCGAAGAACTTCTTCCGCGCGCCGCTCGACGACGAGGCCGCCGTCGACAAGTGGCTGCGGAATTTCGCGGACGAGCTCTGGGACCGCGTGACCAAGGACCGCGAGGCCCACGCGCGCGCGCCGACGTCCTGCACCGTGTCCGTGACGCGCGGCGGCGAGCACCGCTTCACCGGCACCGTCGGCGCGACGTCGGCGACGCGGGCCGGCGCGCTGTCCGTCGGCTGGGGCGGGTCGCCAAAGACGGTCTACGACGCCGCGCGGGCCTGCTTCCGGCGCTGGGCGGGCGAGAAGCACGCGGGCGGCGGCTTCGGGATCACGGTCTTGGGGGTGACGGTGTCGAACTTCGAGGACCTGCAGAAGGAGGGCAAGGGCGGCGGCATCATGGCCCTGTTCAAGAAGCCCTCGGGCCGGAGCCCGCGCGCGCCGTCGCCGCCGGCGAAGCGGGGCATGGACGCGTTCCTCGGGCCGCCGCGGCCCGCCGCGGAGCCCCCGGCGCCGCGGCCCGCGGGCGCCATGGACGCGTTCCTCGGCGGCGCGCGCAAGCGGCCGCGCGTCGCGGACGTCGGCGACGACGGCGCCGCGGCGCGGCCCATCGACGTCGACGGCGACGACGACGACGCGCCCTGGACCTGCGCGGCCTGCACCTACGAGCACGCGTCGCCCGCCGAGGCCGCCTACCTCGCCTGCGCGCTCTGCGCGACGCCGAGGAACCCTGCGTAATTCTCTACAGTGCGATATTTACAGGGTCATCTACAGGGGGCGGGGTCGCGCGGCCGGCGCCGCTTCCGGCGCCGGCGGGCGCATCCTATGGACACGCGGTCACTTGATCGACGTCGGGAGCAGGTCGGCCATGGTCTCCGTGAACTGGTCGAGGCCGTCCTTCTCGAGGTGCTGCTTCCACGTGCCGCCGTCGTGGAGCGCGCGGAGCCGCTTCACGCCGCCCGCGTCCAAATCGTAGGCGCCGCCGTCCGAGTTCCAGCGCTGGAGGCCCGAGATGTACACGAAGGTCGGCTCGACGAAAGCCAACATCTCGAAGAGGAGCCGCGGCTGCATCTTGTAGGAGAACGCCGCGCCCTCGCCCAGCCCCGCGCGGTTCGCGTCGTCGGCCATCTGCTCGCCGGAGAGGCAGTCCGACGCGATGGACAGGCTCTCGCCGACGAGAAACGGGTTCGCGAAGGCGATGGACGCCCAGGGCCCGATGTCGCGCGGGTCGAGCATGTTGTACACGAACTCCGGCGGCGTCAGCGCCTTGATGGCGTACGCGCCCGGCCGCCAGACGCCGTCCTTGCCGGCCCCGGAAACCGTCAGCTTCGTGAAGTTCTCGTGGTAGGGGCACTTGCGGAGGCACGTCAGCGGCACGCCCGCCTTGACCAGCAGCGCCTCGATCTCCCACTTGGCCGCGTAGTGGATCGGCGGCTCCACGACGAAGGCCCCGGGCCACTTGCGCAGGGGCGCCGTGCCGTAGACGACCTGCTTGAGCCGGCCGGGCTCGAGGCGCTCGAGGCGCGCGCACGCCGTCGCGAAGGCCTCGCCCTGCGCGATCTCGTACGCTCCGCCGTCCCAGTCCATGGCCCACGTGCCCGCGGACGCGCGGTTCAGCGTCGTGCAGAGGTAGGCCGCGTCGCAGCCGCGCAGGGACTTGGCCAGGGACGACGCGTCGCAGGAGTCGGCGACGGCGAGCGTCACGCGCGCGTCGAGCGCCGCGAGCGCGCGCGCCTTGGGCGATTCCGGGTCGCGGACGAACGCGCGCACCTCGGCGACGGCGACCTTCTCCGAGCGCAGCAGCGCCTCGACGACGGCCTTGCCCTCCTGGCTCGTCGCCATGGTCACGGCGACGCTGCCGAGCGCCGTCGGCGCGGTCCGCCCGAGCTCCGCGGCGACGAGTCGCTCCACCACTCGTTCCTGGTTCGCGCGGTAGGCGTCCCGCGCCTCGGCGAAGGCCGCGCCGTGCTCCGCCATGGAGTCGGCCACGGCCTCCTTCCAGAGCGCCTTGCGGCTGAGGACGACGAAGGGCACGAGGAGGACCGCGGGCACGAGCGCCGGCAGGAAAGCGAGCGCGAGCGCGACCTGCGCGTAGGCCTCCGCGCGCCGCACCTCGGACTTGGCGACGCCCAGGCCCCAGTCGCCGCCGAAGAGCTCGCGCAGGGCGCCCAGGAACTTCTCGCCCGCCCGGTCGTCGACGGACCCGAGGCGGAAGTACGGGTGGATGAGCGTCCGCTCGACCTCGCGCCGCCGCTCGCCGGGCTGCCAGTCCTTGTCGGGGGCCTATGCGCGGGGTTGTGTCTGAGTGGGGCGCGGCGCGGACGGCACGCACCGTATAGGGGATTTTGAGCACGTTATTTCTGCTCCCCAACGGGAGCGCCTTCGTCTTCGTGACCGGCGCCCTCGGCTTCGTCTTCTCAAGGGTCGACATGGTGACTCGCGAGGGCGTGCGGAGGGCGTGCCCGGCGCCCAGGGCGAGCAGCAAGACGCATTTTTGAGCCATTGTTCGGCTCATTGGCCAGTGCGCGCTCCGTGATGTGGCACAAGCAGGCCTTCGCGAATTTGAACATCAACCAGGCCGGGTGTCGGTCGACGTCGGTCGACAGCCGTCTCACGACGTGTCTCACAGTCCTCGTAGGCGAAGCGCCCCCACGAACACCGAGAAAGCTTACCCCGGGTCCGTCATCTTGCCGAACATGAGCGAATTGAGCGTCGAGTGGCGCATGCGGAACTGGCGGCTCGCGCGGCGCTCCGCGTCGATTTTCGACTTGCGCTCGCGGTCGAACTTGGAGATGCGCGCGCGCTCCAGCACCGACGTGCGCTTGCGCACGGTGACGCGCTCGCCGATCTGCGTGGACCGCGCCGTGGACCGCGCCGTGGCGCGCAGCGTGCCGTTCTCGCGGCTCGGCGGCGCCTCGGCGCCGCGCGCCTCGTCGCCCTTCTTCGCGGGCGAGTCCGCGTCCTTGGACGACTCCTCGGCCGCGTCGGTCTTGCGGACGCGCTCCGTGAAGGCCTCGAAGGACTCGGTGGGCGGGCGGTGCTTGACCTTGGACACGAAGGACTTGACCGTGCGCCACGCGTTCTTGCGCCGCGCGTGGTTTCCCACGGGCCGCAGGACGACGTGGCGGACGAACAGCAGAATCGGCCGCAGCTTCGCGTCGAAGACGAACTCGGCGATGAAGGAGCGGATGCCCAGGGACTTGGACAGCACGACGGGCCCGCCGCAGGTCGCCCCCTGGGACGTCTCCGCGCGCGCGGCGATGAGCTCGCACTGGCGCTCGAGCTTCTCGTGGAGCTCCGGGTCCTCGCACTTGGCGCTGCCCGGCTGCTCGGGCTCGCGCCCGCGCCGCGGCGCCGGGCCGGGCCAGTTCATGAGCTCGCGCGTCTCGCCCGCGCCGGGCAGGCCCGGCCGGCTCGGGAGCTGCGGGGGCCCCAGGGCCTGGTCGTGGCGGACCGCGTGGCCGTGGACGTGCACGCACGAGTGGGAGCCCGCGTGGGAGTGGACGAGGGGCTGGAGCGCGACGAACTGGGTCCAGGACTTCAAATTCGGGCCCGCGGCCGCGGGGATCTTCTCGTCGAGCACCTTCAGGTCGCGCCAGTCGAGGAGCGTGACCGCGAGCGGCGAGTTGTCGTAGACCTTGGCCGGCTTGTGCCGGTGGCCGTTGATGATGACCGGCGCGACGTTGGGCAGATCCACAAAAGGCTTGGACGTGCGCCACCGGAGCACGGCGACCTGCGTGGAAATCAACCGCCGGTTCGGGACGTCCCGACCAAACTGTGAAATGCTCTCGCTCGGTCACATCGAAGTCGATTCGGCTGAGTTTTGGACGAATCGATTGCTTTCATCGAGGTCTCGAAGCACAGCCGAAGTGCTCGTGTCGAAACATTCGAACACGCTCACATTGAAGTCGGGTTGAAGATTCGAGTTCCGCGCGGACGGCGACGGGCGCCTCCGGCCCGCCCTCGCGGTGCCGCCGGCCGCTCTCCTGGATCGCGTAGCGGATCTCGTTCCAGTGGAGCCGCTTGCCGTGCTTCCGCCGCAGCCGGCCCCGGCGATCCAGGAACAGCCAGCAGAAGGGCACGCCGTTCTTGAACAAGATCGTGTCGGGCACGCGGACGCGCCGGTCGCCGATCTTGGACGCGCGCGCCGCGTCCGACACGAGCGACGACAGCAGCAGGCTCTCGCGGTCGCCCTCGCCGATCTTCGTCTTCGCCGCCTCCTCGGCCTTGCGCGCCGCGTCGGCCTCCTCGTCGGAGCTGCTGTCGGAGCTGCTGTCCGCGTCGTCGAAGTCGTCGGCGCGCGTCGCGCCGTCGAACGATTTGCGGAGGCTCCCCGCCTGGCCCCGGCTCAGCGCCTGCATGGCCGTCTTCTGCCGGCCGCCGCCGAGCACGGGGCCCTTGTCCTCCTCCTTGGCGAAGGACGGCACGGCGACGCTGCCGACGCGCCGGTTCACGGACACGGAGTCGCGCGGCTTCGACAGCCGCCCGGTCCGCGACCCGCCGCCCATGGACCGCCGGCCCTCCTCCGGCGGCGGCTCCGGCTGCTCCTCCGGCGTCTGGGGCGGCTCGCCGGTGCGCTGGAGCTGGTGCTGCATCTGGGCGGCGGCGACGACGCCCGCGAGGCCGTGGAAGCCCTGGCGGCCGCGCGACTGCTGCGGGCTCGGCGGCTTCGGGTGGCTCGGCGGCCGCGGCGCCGTGACGGGCCGCTGGGGCGCCGTGACGGGCCGCGACGACGCCGCGGACGACGCGTCGTCGTCGGGTTCCGGCGGCGCCTCCTCCTCCTCCTCGGCGTTGGGGTCGAAGTTGTCGTCGTCGTCGTTGATGTAGTCGAGCTTCGCCGCCGCCGTCGTCGTCGTCTTCCGGTGCGACTCGAGCACGAGGATCGACGCGTTGCGCTCCTTGCGCTCCTGCGACGGCGACCCGAAGGGCGGCGTCAGCGGCGCGTCGTCCATGGAGGGCGCTTTCAGCTTTGGCTGCTGCCCATCATCCTGAAACGACGCGGCAGCATCGCGGCATGGTAACCCATGGTGCCGCGGTGGTGAAGCAGGCTGTGGCAAGCACGAGGTGGCCGCGCGCGCCGCAGATCCTCATGTCGCTGCTAGCCTTGCGGCACGGCGCCGCGCCGCTGCTGCGCGCCGGCCAGCGGCACGCCTCCGGCGCCAGCGAGACGACGCCCTTCCAGCGCTTCTGGCGGTGGACGACGCAGCCGCGGCCGTCGTGGAAGGAGGACAAGACGGAGGCCGCCGTCGCCTTCTGCGTCTTCGGCGTCACGGGGTCGAGCAGCGTCGCCGTCGTGCGGCCGCTGCTGCGCGAGACGACGGGCCTCGAGGGGTCCATGAAGGACGGGCCCTGGAGCTACCGCGTCATCTCGCTGCTGTGCGTCTCGCCGGTCTACGCGTGCGTCCTCGTGACCGTCGGCGCGCAACGCCGCGTCTTCTTTCATGTGCGTCTCGCGGAACCGTCGTTCCTAGGCACGGTCGCGGGCCGCCACCTCTTCTTCGCGAACATGGCGAACAAGATCTTCGGCCGCTTCGTCCCCGCGGCGCTGAACCCGCTGAACCGCCTCTCCGAGGTCGCCTGCGCCCCCGCGGGCGCGCACCTCGTCCCGAACATGCTCCTCCGCTCCGCCGCCGCGGCGCGGCCGAAGCCTTGACGGACCGGGGTTTTCGTTAATCGTCGTTTCCTCGATCTTCGCGCCGCGCGTCCGCGGCTAGAGGCGCCGCCGGACGTCGAAACTAAGAGGAAGACAGAGCCCGCGCTGCTTGGGCTTGTCGGCGCGATGAAGGCTTACCAGCTTACCAGCAGGTATCCATGTTCGGGCGCGCGGCGCGCGGCAACTCTTGGGTCAACAATCGAGTTGCAGCCTTGGTTGCCGGCGTACGGCTCGCGCGTCGCCATTGACGCTGCTGCCGCACGCGTGAATCGCGCGCTGCCCGGCGGAGCCCTTGTGTTCCGGGGCGGCGGAGCGCGTGCATCGCTGCCGTTCGGTCGACAGAAAACGACAAGTCGAGCTGTTCCGCGCGGCGTGAGGCGCGCGCGCCGCGGCGAGCCATGAGCGTGGCCACGGCCTTCCCAACGACCCAGGGCGTGCCCGCGCCCGGCCCGCGGTGCCTCGCGTGCGCGAACTGTTGCGTCGTCTTCGCCAGCGCGCCGCCGGCGCCGGTACCGCGCGCGCGACCACGCTTCCGCGCCGCGCGCGCGCGCGCCGCGCGATCGCGCCGGCCCGACGCGCGACGCGCGCGCGCAGGCACGGGCTTCGTCTTCCTGTGCCTCATCGGCCAGCTGCTCGCGCGGCAGCCGCTCTACGTCGTCGGCGTCGACAACCCGAGCGTCGCGAGCAACAAATGCTTCGGCGCCGCGTTCACCTATCTTTTTATCGTCGTCGTGTCCATCGCGACGCTGGTCTACGACAAGGCCCGCCCCAAGGCCGCCGTCTCGTCGAACTACAGCGACATGGGCCAGGACATGAGCTTCCTCGGCAGCGACGCGACCGCCGAGCGAGACCGACGCCGCGCGAGCCGCGCGCAGGAGCGGGACGCGCTCGCCGGCCTCGAGATGCAGAGCATGCCGACGAAGTCCATGCTCTAGGGCGCGCCGGCCCGCGACCTTGTCAGAACGCCGCCGCGCGGTTCCTAAGCGCGTGCGGGGAGCGCGCGAGCCCTCTCGAAGGCAGTGCACCGATCAAAACTCAGATTCTGATAGCCTGGATTTAAAAGTCAACATTTTTGTTGAACTTCAGCACTTTTGTTGAAGTTAAATCTTGCGATTTCGCGACCCGAACCAGCGACCGCGCGCAAAAAGCCATCGCAAACGTGCAATTAACGCGCGAATATCATCAAACTTGCTTTGATACGACCATAACCCAATTTTGGCCGTGATTTCAGCCCGCGGACCGCCGCGACACCGCGCCCGCGCGCGCGGTCGACGTACAGCCTCTATGGACGACTAATGACTCTGGCTCCGCCGGCCGGAATTCGATGATTGATCTTTATTTATTAATTTCCTACGGGCGCCCCTAGATGTACGTTGATCGGGGCACTGCTCGAAGGCCTTCTCGAGAGCCGTTCAGCGCGAGCTGAGCAATCGATGAGATGTCCATCGATGCGGTGCCTCTCTTGCAGCAGCGATGACGACGACGCCTGGCTGTAAACGCGTGTAAAAATGCTGCGCGCATTGCTGCTGTTCGCCAGCGCGACGGCAGCGCGAGCGCTGCGCGCGCCGGCGGCGCCGCAGGCCGCGGCGCGGTCGCTCTTCCACGAGGAGCTCGCGACGCTGCGCGCCGTCGCCGACGGCGCGTCGGCCACGGGCCGCTTCCGGCCCCACGCGCGCTACACGTCGCGCTTCGGCGAGGCGCTGCGCCACGGCGCCGGCAGCGATCCCGACGTCGCGAGCCGCGCCGCCGCGATGCGCGATACGCTCGACGCCGGCGGCGACCCGCTCGCCGCCGCCGCCGAGCTCGGCGAGGCCGTGCTCCAGGCCCTCGAGTGCGAGGCACTGGTCGAGTCGCGCCGCCGCATCAAGGACGCGTACCTCCTGTCCGACGCGGCGCCGCGCGACGGCGGCGAGGAGCTGAAAGGTCGCCTCTTCTTCGCCGCGCTCGAAGCCGTCGCGGACCGCGCGCCGTGCCTCGAGGGCGGTGGCCAGCTCGTCGATCTGGTCTTCGCTTTGGCGCTGGCGCGGGGCGCGCTCCTGGCGACGGACGCGTCCCGGGGCCGGCGGCTGGAACGCGCGGTGACGGCGCACTTCCACGCGCTCCCGCGAGAGGCCGACGGCGTCGCCTTCGACGGCGTCGCGGCGGCGGACCTCCTGCGGACGCCGCGTTTTGATGGATGTGATGCAGCGTCCTGCGCCACACATACGCCGCTCCTGGTGGCGTTCGCGGGCCTCGGCGCGAGCGGTTTCGTGAGGTACGAGTGGCGCGGCGCGGCCCACCGCGTCGCCCGGCGCTCCCGGCCCTTCGACGCGCTCTTCGTCGCGGACCCGGCGGGCTCCTGGTACACGGGCGGCCTCGCGCGGCGCTACCGGAGCGACGCGGCCCTGGCGACGGCGCTGCGGCGCGCGCGGCGGCGGCGGCCCGTCGCGTTCGTGGGAGATTCCATGGGCGCCGCCGCCGCGCTCAAGCACGCGCGGCACGCCGACGCCGTCCACGCCGTGGCGCCCCAGACGGCGTCGTTGCACGCCGACGTCCACGTCGGCCGCGAGGACCTCTACCTGCGGCCGGCCTCGTGCGCGAGGCGCGTCGAGCGGCCGATGGCGCGGTCCGTCCGCGCGGCGCTCCGGCGGGGCGCGCGCGTCGCCCTGCACCACGCGGCGGCCTGCGACGTCGACGCCGCGCACGCCGACGCGCTCGCCGCGCGCGTCCCCGCGACGCGGCGCGGCGACGGCGACTTCTGGGCCGGGCCGGCCGCGCGCGGCGCGCTCGACGTCGTCGCCCACGGCGGCTGCGAGAGCCACGACCTCGCGGGCCACCTCGGCCACACCGGGCGCCTCGACGACCTGCTGGCGCGGGCGATCGAGGACGCCGTTAATTCGCACTAGCTAAAGATGAAGCGGTACAGCATCACGGACTTGCCAGTTAGACGCGGGAGCGCCGGCGTGCCCAAATGACGACATTACGCAGTGCCGGTGTCGACGTAACCAACATTTGAAGTTTTTCAAGATCATTTCGTCGGTGGGGTCCGGGAAATTGCGCTCGTCATCCTTCTGGCGCTCGCCGACGGCGTTCCTCTGGAGCTCCGCGACGGCGCCCTGCGCAGCGGCGACGGCCAACGCACTGACGGCGCGGGGGCCGCAAGGTCCCGGCGCCGGAAAGTCGCGTAAAGAAACGGACGCGACGCGCGCTTCAAGACAGCGCGCGTCGTTATGGCGTTATGCGGCGATGCGCGACGGCGCCAGCCTGAGCAAGGATCCCGACGGCTCGGTCATCTACTACCCTAGATCGAGCATTCGCAGCACGAAGTGCAGCGCCGTGACCATGTTCATCGTCGACAAGCTCGACCTCCCGCGGGCGCGGGACGCCGCAGCGCGCGCGCGCCGACCGCGCTCGAGAGCAACATCGGCTCAGCTCGTGGTTGCCGCCGCTCCGGCTCGCGTCGTCGCTCGCTTGCTTGCGAGCCACAGACGATGTACCGCGCCGCAGCCTCCGCGGGGCGCTTCATCGGCCGGGGCGCCGGCGCGACGCGGGCCGCGCGCCCCATGGCGCCGGCCCGCCGCCACGGCGGCGGCGGCACGGTCTACGAGATCGGGGGCAAGGAGTTCTCGACGGAGCAGGTCGTCGGCGGCGTCTTCACCTTCTACTGCGTCCTCGCCTTCGTGGGCACGCGGGGGGGCAAGAAGGAGGAGAAGGTCGAGGCCGCCGCCGGCGGCGCGTCGACGGGCGGCGTCATGTCCATGATGGACGACGGCTTCGACGCCTGGGCGTCCGCCCCGGCGAACATGAAGAAGTGGGAGGAGTCGATCGCGGCGATGAAGTAGGCGCCCCGCCCCCCCCCCCGGTCGGGCGCCCCGCGGCGACGATGTCGTCGCCCCGCGGAGCGTCCCGCCCGCGCGTCCCCCCGCACCAAGACCACCACCCGCGGCGCGCGGCGGCTTTTCCTCTCTCTCGTTTAGTAAGATCCCTCAACACCACGCCGAGCCACGCGCCGCTTAGGGCGCGCGCGCGCGCGAAGGAGCCTCACTCCTGGTCGTCGTCCTCGACGACCTCCGGCGCCGCGCCCACGGTCGCCTCCTCCTCCTCGTCGGAGTCGGGCTCCGGCGGCGCGTTCGGGTCCCAGTCGATGTGCTTCTTGATGATGCGCTCGATCTCGGGCTGGTTCGCGCCGACGACCTCGTCGATCTGCTCGCCGTTGCGGAAGAACATGTAGGTCGGCGTCTTGTACTTGGTGTGCCTACGGGCGGGACGCGCGCGTCGCGCTCCGCTCGCGTCGAGTTCCGTTCGTTCGACGAGCGACCGCCGCGCTCTCTCGACGCAGAAATCGACTCGCGTCTCCCCCCGCGCCGCGGCGCGCGGGTCGCGGAACTTGCCGACCTTGAGGCACTCGAACATCTTGTGGCCGTTGTAGCGGTCCATCTTGTTGATCTGCATGAACACGAGCTTCGGGAACATGTCGCAGATGTCGGCGACGACGTTGGCGAAGCCGTGGGAGATGGCGCAGTGGTCCGCGAAGCACTCGATCATCACCAGACGGTTGTGCGCCTCCTCGGCGAGGATCTCCATCTGCTTCAGGTGCGTGAGGTAGTGCTCCGGCGGCCGGTTCTCGTGCCAGACGAGGCGCTTCCGCCAGCGCGCGACGATCTCCTCCGCCTAGAGAGGGGGAAAGGAAGGTTGGTCAGAATCGACTCGTGTGTTCCCCCGCGCCGCGCCGCGCCTTGTCGATGGTCTCGTGGAAGTCCTCCTCGTTCTCCTCGTCGTGCTCCCGGTTCATGACCTCGTAGTCCGCCGAGTGGTCGATGTACATGGGGCCCTCGGGGCTGTCGACGATCTTGCCGCGCATCACCATGTCCGACATCGTGCGGCGGGGGCGTGCGACAGCCCCGAGGGCGGCGCCGCACCAAGTCGAGTTTCTGGAGAGTGGGCACCTTACCTCAATTAAACACGAGATCATAACGTTGCCTTTGGTGTTGAAGTCAAGGCCTGAGCGCAATGGGTAGCACCTTCGCGGCCTAAGAACGCGCCGAGCCAAGCCTCGCAGCGCATACAAACATGCACGGCCGCGTCGTCCTCGCGCTCGTCGCCTGCGCCGCGGGCTCCTTCGAGCATTTACACATCCTCCCCGACAACGACGCGCTCACGGAGCTCTGGTTCATCGGCGACCTCCACGGCGACGTCGGCTGCGCGCGGCAGTGGGTCGCGCGGAGCGGGCTCGTCGCCTTCGACGCGGCCGGGCCGCGGTGGACGGGCCGCGCCGGGTCCGCGCTCGTCTTCCTCGGCGACTACGTCGACAAGGGCGTCCATTCGAGCGACGTGCTCGCGCTCGTGCGGTCGCTCGTCGAGGCCTTCCCGGACCGCGTCGCGGCGATCATGGGCAACCACGACCTGTTCCTCTACCTCGACGCGACGCTCGACGGGAGCGACCCGCGGCGGCCCATGCGCATGTCCGTGCAGGCCTACCCCTACTCCTTCTTCCATCCCGAGGAGTACGCGGCGTCGCCCTTTACCACAAAACGGGACGACGACGGCGAGGTGCTCGACGCGCTCTTAGAGAGCCTGCTCTTCGTCTACGAGACCCGCGCGACGCGCAAGGTCCTCGTGCCGACGCCGTCCGCGCCCGCGCCCGCCGGCCGCGGCCGCGTCAGCCTCTTCGACGTCGCGCCGCGCTTCCGGGACGACGGCGCGCTCGCGGCCAAGGTCGCCGGCCGCCTCGACGAGTGGCGCGTGGACTACGCGGCGGGGTTGCGCGACTCGGGCCTCGTCGACTTCCTGCGGGCGCGGCCCGTCGTCGCCATCGTCGGCGACGCCTTGGTCGTCCACGGCGGTTTGCCCCCGGAATACGCGACGGACGCGCTCCCCGCGCTCGTCGCGGAGCTCCGCGCGACGCCCTGGGCCAACCTGTCGACGGCCGCGATGCGGCTCGCGGCCGAGGCGACGCAGGACCGGTCGTTCCACCGCGAGGGCGGCTGCGCGGCCGCGGCCGCGGTGCTCGCCGCGACGGGCGCGGCGCGCATCGTCGTCGGCCACACGCCCGGCGACGACGTGCGCGAGCTCTGCGGCGGCGCGGTCCTCGCGGCGGACTCGTCGCTCTCGCGGCCGTTCCGGGCGAACGGCAACTACTACTGCGCCGTCGCGAACCACAAACCCGGCGGCTCCTGCGACACGCCGGAGGCGCGCTGCGAGGGCTCCGTCGCGACGCTGACGCGCGCCAGCGCCGACGACCCCTGGCCGCGCCACGCGCTCCGCGTGGCCATCGACGGCGGTCGGACGCGCGCCGCGGACGACGACGACGCGCCGGCCGACGGCCCGGGCCGCGCGCGGGGCCTCGCGACGGCCGCCGCCGTCGGCGGCCTCGCGTCCTGGTGGCTCGGCGCGGGCCGGGAGAAGCCGCGGCACCGCGCTAGCGACGACCCGAGCGACGACGGCCCGGTGGCGGAGGAGCCCGCGGCGCCCGACGCGCCTCCCGAAGACGGCGACGCGACGACTTAAACGATGTCGGGGCAGCCTGTGTCCGAGAGGCGCCCCTCCTCGTAGGCCGTCATGCGGAGGCCGTTGTACTTCGGGCCGTACTGCTCGCCGCGCATGAAGCCGTCGTGGAACTGGTGGTAGACCTCCGCCTGGTAGAAGGGGAACGCCGCCGTGTCGTAGAGCCAGACCTTGCCCGTGCCGAGCGTGTCGCCGTCGTCGCCGGAGCCCCGGGCGAGCTTGAGGCCCTTGCCCTCGAGGGCCTTGGCCACGACGCCCGCGAGGGGCGAGGTCTCGCCGCCGGGCAGGCCGACGAGGGACCGGTACTCGCCGCCCCGGTCGCCCTTGTCCGGCCGGTCGCCGCTGGCGTCGAAGAGCGCCGCGTACGCTTCCGCGAACTTGCCGACGGTCGACGGCGGCACTTTGAGGCCGACGACCTCGCCGTGGCCGAGCTTGCCGTAGTCCGCGATGCGCTGGGGGTTGTGGTAGCAGACGAGGGACTGGCCCGGCCGCGACGCGTCCTTGCCCGCCTTGCGGCCGCCGGCGTAGCCCGCGCGCGCGGTCCACTGGAACGCGTCGCGCCCGAGGATGGCCCGCTCCGCCTCGGCGAACTCGTGCTGCACGTGCCAGAAGCAGCCGACGCCGAAGTAGACGGCGACGTTCTCCTCGTCGGCGGCCGTCGCGCGGGTGCTCGCGCCCGTCAAGGCGGCGGCGGGCGCGCCGCGCAGCAGCGCGCGGCGCGTCGTCGACGACAGCGCGCCGACGAGGGCCACGGCGCCCAGCAGAGCGAGCGCGCGGGCCATGAGTGCGGGCGTCGCGTGGCTCGGGTGTCCTGGGTGTCGGTGGAAGGTCTCGGGCGCTCTCTCTCGAGGCGCCGCGTCGCGTGCTCAGGCGCTCTTCCACCTCTTGCTTGCACGCTTCAACCCGGATTCAACCTTGATTCAACGTAGGAGGCCTCGTCGAAAGCGTGGTCTTAAGCCCCCCCTCGCGCGCCGGCTCAGAGGGCCTTGTCGGCGAGGATCTTCCGGAAGGTCTCGATGTTGGTCATGCCGTCGTCGTCGCAGACGTCGTCGTACAGCTTGTGGAACTTGTCGTCGTCGAGGTTCCAGCCGATGGCCGTGAAGAGGTCCCAGATGTCGGCCTTGGGCCGCTTGGCGAAGAACTCGTTCTCGTCGATGCCCATGGCGCAGAGCTGGGACGGGTAGAGGAGCTCCTGGGCGTTGGCGTCGTCGCCGTAGTTCTGGTGGTCCGCGATGGACCGCTTCGCGTACTTCGGGATGTCGCTGCGGACCGTCGGCGTGCCGAAGGTCCGCTCCTTCTGCGCGTCCGTGAGGATGTTGCGGAAGCCCGGCGTGTGCGTCTTGCCCAGGTCGCTGTCGGGCTCGCGGTCCTCCTCGGCGTAGTCGCCCGTGATGCAGCACCGCGCGTCCCACTCGCCGAAGCCGCGGACCTGTGCCGAAACCAAATCTTCAACCCGACTTCAATGTGCGCGTAATCGAATGTTTTGACACAAGCTCTTCGGCTGGGCTTCGAGAACTCGACGAGAGCGATCGATCCGTCCAAAAATCAGCCGAATCGACTTTGATTTGACCGAGCTAGAGAATTCTCAAGTTTGGTCAGGACCCCCCAAACCAGTGGTTGATTTCCACACAGCCGCGGACCGAGGCCTTGCCGTACAAGTGGTCGCGCGGCCGGTGGTTGCCGTGGCCGAGGTTGCGCGTCTTGCCGAGCTTGTCCTGCAGCGAGTTGAAGTTCTGGACGCGCGTCGACGTGATGGGCTCCGTGTCCATGCCCTGGCGCAGCGCCGCGGACGCGCCGAGCGCCAAGCCGTTCAGCGCGACGTGCGAGCCGTCGCCCACCCCGAAGCGGTGCGCGTTCATGTCGCGGCCGCCCCAGTCGTAGCCCCGCGTGCGCTGCTCGCCCGGCTCGAAGGACCCGTGGGACTTGATGTACTGCTGCTTCTCCGCGGCCGTGACGGCCGCGGACGGGTTGTAGATCAAGACCTTGGACCCGTCGCCGCCCTCGCGGACGGACTTCTTGCCGAACTGGAAGCCCGGCTCGGCGACGCAGCTCGGGAGCACGTGGCCCCTAGTGAAGGACTGGCCCAGGGGCTCGCGCTTGATCGAGTGGTACGTGCTCTCTTTCTGCGTCAATTTCACCTGCGCGAACTCGGATTCCGCGCCGGGCTGGACGAGGACGTCCTCGACGTGGTCGGAAACGATCTTGATCTTGCCGAAGCGCTCCGCCGTGTGGTTCGCGTCCTTGAAGTCCTCGATGAGGCCCGGGTGGATGATGCGCTGGCCGGGCTGCGTGTAGTTCGACTTGCGCCACTTGCGCACGCCCGGCGGCGTGCCGGGCCGTTCGTCGAGGTGCAGGCAGGCCTCCGTCGTCTGGCCCCCGAGCTTCGTCGTCACGCCCGCCACGGGCGGCATGTTCAGCGGGTTCATGGCTCCGCAGCTACCGCCGGCGCCCGCCGCCGTCGTTGCACGCGGGGGCTGCCCGCCTGGATTCATAAAAGGCATCATAGATCCGTGCATGTCTTCTTGACGATGGCCATGGGATGGTTCCGACGCGGCGGGTGGCAGCCCACGATGATGCTGCCGTGCCTCCTCCTCGGACTCCTCGGCGCGGCGGCGGCGACGTATAACGAGACCCTCGCCCGCCGGGACTTGTACGTCTCCCAGGCCACGATGTGCGACGCCAAGACCTTGGAGAACTGGACCTGCGGCGACGCCTGCGCCAACGTGAGCCTCGCGTCGCCGCGCGTCGTCGTCAACGCGTCCTCCGACGCCCTCGCGCTCGTCGCCCGGACCGCCGACGGCTGCCTCCTCGCCTTCCGCGGCTCCGCGACGCCGCTGAACTACCTCGAGGACGCGACGTTTTTTCCCGCGTCGCCCTACCCCGCCTGCGAGGGCTGCGCCGTGCACAGCGGCTTCCACGACACCTGGCGGAGCGTCGCGCCCGCCGTCGCCGCCGAGATCGCCGACCTCGGCTGCGCGCGGCTGGAGATCCTCGGCCACAGCCTCGGCGGCGCGATGGCCGCGCTGGCGGCCTACGAGCTCGCGGCGACGATCGACGTCGCCCGCGTCTACACCTACGGCCAGCCCCGCGTGGGCAACGCGGCCTGGGCGGCGGCCTTCGCGGCGCTCGAGCTCGACTACGCGCGCGTCGTGCTCTACAAGGACGCGGTGCCCCACCTGCCGATGGACGACATGTTCTGGGAGGGCTGGACGCACGCGATGCCCGAGGTCTACTACAACGCCACGGCGCCGGGCGCGTACCGCGCCTGCGACGACGCGGCGGACGCGCGCTGCTCCTACGGGTGGAACCTCGTCGAGACGCTGCTCCACACCTGCGACCACTGCTCCTACCTCGGCATGAACCCGTGCGAGTGCGCGACGCGGCCGCCGAACTGCGCCGAGCCCCGCTAAGAGTGTTCGAAGGAGCCCGGCTGTTACGGAGAGATGGGGGGGGGGAGGGGAGAGGGGGCGGGCTCGCGTGCTTGCGCCTCCTAGAAGCGGAGGCTGTCGATGGCGCCGACGCCGCCCCCGATCTTGAAGGGGTTCGTGAAGGGCGCGGGCGGTGCCTTGGCCGGCGGCGCGCCCTCGACGGGCGACGGCGCGTTCGAGGACCGGCGGGCGAGCGGCGCCTCGAGCGGCGCCTCGTCGTTCTCGTCGGCGACGGGCGGCGCGTCGGGCTCGGGCTCGTAGGCCTCCGCGGGCGCGTCGTAGGCCGGGCTCGGGGGCCGGGCCGCCGGGTGGTCGGCGACCGCGTGGGTGTCGAGCTCGTTGCGGAAGGCCACGAGGTCCTCGACGCGCGACGTCAGCGCTTCCTCGCCGTGCGAGTTGGCGATGCGGAGCGCCAGGTCGAGGGACTCGGGCAGCTCGAGGCGCCGCGCCAGGTCGAAGGCGCGGAGGTAGAGCTGCTGCTTGGCGGCGGCGACGAGCTGGCGGAGCACCGCGCGGTCGCGCTGGAGGATCGCGTCCGTCGCCGCCTTCGCGAGCGCGTCGGCGTCCAAGGCGTCGCGGTCCGCGTCCTGGGCCGTGGGCGCGTGGAGCCGGCCGAGCGCGTCGCGCGCGCCCGCGGCGCGCGCGCGCTGGCGCGCGAGCGCCGTCGGCGCGCCGATGGCCGCCTCGGCCTCGCGCGCCGCCGCGTCCCAGGCCGCGGACGCGTGCGGCTGGCGCAGCGCGAGGCGCTCGAGCACGGGCTTGGCGCCGCGGCAGGGCGGGTAGGGCGCGCCGCCCTTGAGTAGGGCGCAGTGCACGAAGCCGTGGACGGCGAAGACGGGCCACTCGCGGTCGCCCGCGTTCACGCGTTTCGCCGCCGCGTCCAACGCCGGCGCGAAGCGCCACCCGAAGTCGTCCACCAGCATCCAGAAGGAGCCCGACGAGTCCTTGGCGAGCAGCACGCCGTCGTCGGTCTTGAAGCCGAGCCACGCGAGCTTCGAGCCGGGCGGCAGCGGCAGCCGGGAGCCGTCGCCGTTGACGGCGGCCCGGCCCTCGACGTCCAGCACCTGGATCCACACGTCCTGCTGGCCGTCGGCCGTCGGCGACGACCGGTGGTAGGCCACGGCCAGGGACCGCTTGTGCGCGCAGCACGCGACCGCGCGGCCCAGCCCGCCGACGACCGCGTCCTCGACGCCGCCGCCGGAGTAGATCCGCAGGAGGTCGCGGGACGTCGTCGCGGCGACCCAGTCGTCGCCGGCGGCGAGCGTCGTCGCGAACTCGCCCGGCGGGAGCTTCGCGGACCAGCCGCCGTCGGACGCCCAGGAACTGAGCGGCCGGAAGTAGAGCTGCGACTCGTCCAGGTCGTCGCCGCCCGTCGCGAAGAACGCGCCGCGCGCGCCGAGCGTGCCGAGCGTGAAGTCGCGGCGGTCGACGAAGCGCACGACGCGGCCGCGCGCCGCGCCCTCGGCGTAGTGCTCGACCTCGAACGCGAACTCGAGGCCGCCCTCCTCGGCGCGCGCCGTCACGGAGCCGCGGTGCGACCAGTGGAGGAAGCGCGCGGCCGTCTCCTCCTCGGCGACGGTGGACGACACCATGAAGGGCGGCTGGAAGGGCACGGTCGGCGGCGGCGCGGCCACCGGGACCGCGAAGGGGTCCGCGTCCGGCTCCGCGCCGTCGTCCGCGAAGCTCTCCGCGTCCATGGGCGCCGGCTCGTCGAGGTCCCGGTCGCCGACGATGACGTCGTCCGTGGGCTCGTTGGCTTCCAACGGCGACAGGGACAGGTCGTCGTCGGAGTCGACCTGGACCTTCTTCTTCTTCTTCCGCGAAGGCTGGGGCATCATGTCGACGAGGTCCTCCTCGTCGGAGATCTCCCCCGCCGCGTCCTCGATGAGGCGCTTCCGCGGGGAGGCGTCTTCCTCGTCGTCTTCTTCTTCTTCTTCGTCGGCGCCGACGACGCCCGCGACGGCGAGCGCGCCGTCCGCGGACGCGAGCACGAGGCTCTCCGCGCCGCCCGACGAGCAGAACGCGAAGGCCTTGATGGCCAGGTCGCAGCCGTAGATGAGGATGGGCGCGCCCGTGGCCACGTCCCAGACGGAGACGTTGCGCTCCGCGGAGACCGCGGCGCAGAGCGTGCCCGCCGCGTTCCAGCAGCAGGCGACGAGCGGCGCCTTGAAGAGCGTCGCCTGGTCGTCGTCGCAGAAGACGCCCTGGGCCTCGGCGGCCCAGTCGGCGCCGGCGGGCGTGCGCGGGAGCAGCGTGAGCTCCGGGCGGCCCGGCGCCGCGAGCCACGACGAGCTCGCGGCCGGTCGACGAGGCCGCGCCGTCGTAGACGCGGACGACGCCCGCGTCGTCGCCGACGACGACGGCGCCGTCGGCGCGCACCGCCACGGCGCTGATCTCGCCCTCGAGGTCGTCGGGCTCGAAGGTCGCCGCGGCCTTCTCCGCCAGCCCGTCGGCGCCGCCCGTGCCGCCGGCCTCGGCGTGCACGGCCGCGCCGTCGCAGAAGACGACCTTGCTCGTCGCGTTGGCCACGAGCGCGACGCGGCCAGAGGAGTTGATGACGTCGTCGCACCACTCGTCGGAGCCGAACGTCAGTTCGAGCGCCATGGTGCACTCGCAGCGGACGAGGTCGTGTTTGAAAGCTTGTACGTCTCGTTTCGGCGCGCGCGCGCGACGAGGCGGGTCGAGGCCTTGGAGGAACGACTCGAAGGCTCGATGAGAGCGTCTGAACTCCTGCGGACGACGCTCGTCGCAGTCGGGCTCTACGACGAGCAAGTCTGCTTTGAATGAGAGCGCTCGAGCGCCAACGGAGAGCCCTCCGATCTGGCCGGGGGTCTCTCGTGTCTCGTGCATTCGAGGTCCTGAGAGGCCTCCTGAGCGCGACGCAAGGTACCAGCCTGAGACTACTGGAGCGCACGAGCTCGCCTCGTCGCGTGCGTGCCGCCCGCCCGCCTGGCCGAGCATCGAAGCTGATTCAATTTCGCGCCGCGGCCGTCGTGATGGTGATTGTGTGGCCGACGCTCGTAGACACGGTCCGACAGCCGCGCCCGCGCCGCTGCATTCGCCCCGATCCACGACCACGGCTCGCGGGCGACGGCTTCGTAGTGAACGCCAGCTCTCAACCAAGACCTCAACAACAAAAAAACTAGATCGGCGAGCCATCGAAGCAGCCGCCTCGCCGTGTCACCCACGTCCGCCTCCTCCATCCACGCGTCGAACCTCGATCATGTCTGCCTCCAAGCTCTCCTTCAGCCTCTCGCGCGTCGCGTCGGCGCGCCTCGGCGCCGTGCGCGGCATGGCCCGCAAGCCCATCGTCGGCGGGAACTGGAAGTGCAACCCGGCGACGGCGTCGAGCCTGCCGGAGCTCGTGTCCAACTTCGACGGCTGCGCGGCCTACCTCGACAAGTGCGACGTCTACGTCTGCCCGTCGAACCTCCACGTCGCCCTCGTCAAGGACTCCTTCAAGCCCGGCGCGGCCGCGGCGTCCAAAAATCTTTGGAGGACGCGCCTATAGAAACGCGCGTTTCCTCCCTCCGCAGGCATCAAGGTCGCGCCGCAGAACTGCAACTTCGGCGGCTGCGGCGCCTACACGGGCGAGATGGCCGTGGACCAGGTCAAGGACATGGGCATGGACACGGTGCTCATCGGCCACAGCGAGCGCCGCGGCGAGTTCGGCCTGCCCACGCCGGCGGAGTCGAACGCGCTCATGGCCACCAAGCTCGCGTACATCCTCGAGCACGGCCTCTCCTGCGTCTTCTGCATCGGCGAGCCGTTGCCCATCCGCGAGCAGGGCATCGACGCCGTCCTCGCCGAGTGCGTGAGCCAGCTCGAGGACATCGTTCCCATCCTCAAGGGCCTCGAGGACAAGTCGCGCGTCGTCATCGCCTACGAGCCCGTCTGGGCCATCGGCACGGGCGTCACGGCGTCGCCCGAGCAGGCCCAGGAGACGCACAAGGCCATCCGCGACTGGATCGCCGGCGCCGTCGACCAGAAGACCGCCGACGAGATCCGCATCCAGTACGGCGGCTCGGCGAACGCGGCCAACGCGCCGGACCTCTCCGCCATGCCCGACATCGACGGCTTCCTCGTCGGCGGCGCGTCCATGAAGGCCGAGTTCGTCGACATCGTCGCCGCCATCGCCAAGTAGGGTAGCGCGGGCTCCCCCGTCGCTCCGCGCGGCCGGCGCGTCACCTCGGCCCTCCCCGGGATCGGTAATCATACCCCTCGTGCGTGTATCTACTCCGGGGCCTTAATTTCAGGGAAGTCGTCGTCGTCGGAGTCGTCCTCCGGTGGGCTCGGGGCCTCCGGCGGCGCGGCCGCGCCGCCGTCCGCGTCGTCGCAGCCGGCCATGGCCAGCGCCGTGTGGAACATGCCGTGGAACATGGCCGCGTGCGGGAAGGCCGTCGGCGGCTCGGCGACGGCCCGCGGCGGCAGCGGCGCGGCCCGGAGCCCGTGCGCGAACAGGACGTTCGCGAGGGCCGAGCGGTCCGCGTCGCGGTCCTGGAAGACGAGCTTGAGGTGGAGGTGGATGACCAGGCCCTCGAGCGTCGAGCCCGGCGCGAGCTCCTCGACGGCCATGAGGTCGTCCTCGCACTCGATCGCCGCGTCGAACGCGCCGGGAAACGCCGCCGCGCGCGCGGCCGCGCCGTTGAGCGCCGCGGCGGCCTTGAGCGCGTCCGCGGCCTCGGCGTCCCGGCGCAGGAGGTGGAGCGCCGCCGCGCGCGCGAAGGCGGGGACGGCCCGCTCCGTCGCGAAGGGCGCCAGGAAGTCCGCCACGCCGTCGAGCCCCTCCTCGAAGCCCAAAGCGAAGTCGACGGCCGCGAAGGCCGCGCCGCTCAGGTCGCGCGCGTCGGCGCAGAGCGCCTCCTGGCACAGGTCCAGCGCCGCCTGGCAGCGGCCGCGGCTCGCCTCGTCGCGCGCCAGGTCCACGAGGCTCGCGACGAAATCCGCGCCGCCGTCGACGGCCTCGGCCAAAGCGCCGCCGTATTTCTCGAACGCGTCGACGCCGACCTTGTCCGCGTGGTGGTCCTTCGTCTTCGCCGCCTCGACCTCGTCCCAGGGCCGCGCCGCGCCGCGGAGCTTCCACGTCTCGGGCCCGCCCTTCTTTCGCCGCTTCCGCGCCTCGTCCGTCTCGGGAGAGGGCGGCGCGACGTAGTTCGCGTAGCGCTCCCGGCCCCGCGCGACGTTGCGCTCGAGCCGCACGCGCTGCAGCCGGTCCAGCTGCTTGACCTTGGCCGCCGCCGAGTCGCGCGCCAGCACCTGGGCCCCGTAGCGCGTCTTCGGCGCGTCCTCGAGCAGCTCCGCCTTCTCCTCGGCGTTGTCCGGCCCGACGACGTTCTCCCGCTTCGGCTTCTGCCACGAGCTCTTCTTCGCGGCGCGGTTGTTCTTCGTCTTGCCCTTGGCCATCGTGCAGCAGCCGCTGGCACTTGAGCAGGCGGGCGATGGACCAGCGGCGTCGAGTCGTCGACTGCTCGTTGCCGGCATCATCGGCATCGTGCAAAGCGGACAGCATGATCTGAGAGCATGGTTCTCGCGCTCGCAGCTCCGCGACTGAGCTGACTCTCCAGCAACGACTCTCGCGACGCGCAGCAGGAGCTTGTTCCAAAAGCGCTCCGCGCTGCAATAGATGCGCTTCCTCCTCATCGCTCGCCTCGCCGTCGCGGCGGCCGTGGCCGCGGCGCTGCGGCCGCCGGCGCGCCGCGCCGTGCGCATGGACGTCGTCGAGGGCTTCGCCGGCGCGTCGCGGCTCATCGGCGAGGGCGTGCTGCCGGCCGACGTGCCGCTGGAGCCGGCGCCGCTCAACGCCGTGTCGGTCTTCGCCGCGGCGCTCGTCGCCGCCGCCGCCGCGGCCGTCTCCGTCGCGCGGGCCTTCGAGCCGAACCCCGACGCGCGCGCGCTCCTCGACGGCGGCGCGCCGGCGACGCTGTTCCGCGAGGCCGCGCCCTACTACGTCGTGCGCTGGCGCGTCGCGAAGACGACGACGTACGAAGGCCTCGGCTCGCGCGCGGAGGTCGCCGAGGGCGGCGCGGACAACAGCGTGCGCTGCTCCTCGCTCGCCGAGGCGAACGCGCTGTCGAGGCGCCTCGCGAAGCAGCTCCCGGGCCTCGCGACGCGGACCTTCAAGATCACGGGCGCGGCCGTCGTCGCCCTCGCGCCCGGCGGCGGCGCGGACGCGGCGTCGGCCGAGGACGCCTGGGTCGGCGACTACTCCGACGTCGTGCGGGCGGCCGTCGACGACCGGCGGACGGCGCCGGTCGTGCCGCCGCAGCAGGTCTGGGACGACCTGCTCCAGGCCGACGCCGAGGCCGAGGCGGAGGCCGCGAGAACGGACGTCGACCGCGCGTGGTCCGAGTACGTCGCGTCGCTGCGCGTCACCGAGGAGCTGGACGTGACCGTCATCGGCGGCGAGGGCGGCGCCGCGCCCTGCCGCCTCTGCAACGGCAAGGGCGTGCGGGTCCTCTTCAAGCAGGAGGTGCCCTGCGAGTGGTGCGGCGGCTCGGGGATCGCGCAGGACTAGCGCGTCTCAGGCGCGACCTTACTCGAGCCTGTTGGGTGGTAAGTCCCCGGTCGGACTCGCGCAGGCGTACTTTCAGGGGGCATGGGGATCGGTGGGTGGCGACGGGCGTTGCTTTCGCGGGTCGCGGGGATGTCTTCACGGCGGGCGTCGCGCGCCCGTTGGAGGCGACGGCGTGCGTGGGGCACGCGTCGCGCGGCGTAGAGCGCTCACTCGGTCGTGGGCGAACCCGTCGGCGAGGTCGTGGCGGTCGTCGCAGGCCCAGCCAGGCCAAAATTTCCGAACTCCGACTTTGAATCTTAATGTGCACATCCCCCGCGCCTTCCGCACGCCTCCGGGGGGTTTAGGGGGCGTCCACGCGGCTCGGCGGGGCGTTAACCCACGCGTAAAGCGGGATCGGTAATCTCGCCGATTATGGCCTGGCTGGGCCTGCGACGACCGCTAGGCCTAGGCGAGGACGTCGTCGTCGTCGTCGTCGCCCATGTCGGAGCCCGGGGCCTCGGGGCTCTTGTTGCCGCCGCCGTCGTCGAAGGTCATGTACTCGGCCCGGGGCTCGTCGTCGTCGTCGTCCGTCTCGTCGGGCTCGACGAGGAGGAGCGTCCGCCGCAGTTACAGGTCCTTGTATCACATCCCCAGGTTTCATCTCTGCAGAGTTAGGAGCAGGGTTGCGGAGAGGAACAGGGGGAGGAGGAGGGTTACGAGGAGCAGCAGCAGCAGCAGCAGCAGCAGCAGGAGGAGGAGGAGGAGGAGAGGCAGCAGCAGCACGTCGCGGATGGCCCTGGCCCGCGGCGGCGCGCGCGGCGGCGCGCGCGGCGGCGATGAGGTTCTTGTGGCCTTGGCGACCGTGGGCGAGCTGCACGAGCTTGGCGGCCTTCAGGCCACACGGGCGCCTACTTGCCGGTGGGGGCGGCCGTGGGGGCGGCCGTCGGCGCGCCCGTGGGGGCGGCCGTCGGCGCGCCCGTGGGGGCGGCCGTCGGCGCGCCCGTGGGGGCGGCCGTCGGCGCGCCCGTGGGGGCGGCCGTCGGCGCGCCCGTGGGGGCGGCCGTCGGGCTGGTCGTGGGAGCCGAGGTTCCCGCCGCGGTGGGCGCGCCCGTGGGGGCGGCCGTCGGGCTGGTCGTGGGAGTCGAGGTTCCCGCCGCGGTGGGCGCGAGGTTCGTGGGAGCCGAGGTTTCCGCCGCGGTGGGCGCGCCCGTGGGGGCGGCCGTCGGGCTGGTCGTGGGAGCCGAGGTTTCCGCCGCGGTGGGCGCGCCCGTGGGGGCGGCCGTCGGGCTGGTCGGGGAGCCGAGGTCCCCCGC